AATTTACTAGTAGTTTGTAAGCTACAGTTCAAAGGGCATTGCAGGAATTTAGGATTTTGAATAGGTAGATAAAATTGTTAAGTTGGATTTAAAATACACATCCTATTGATCCATAAATTGTAAACTTTGAGGTTAACTCTTATTCTGCTGTCCAAAAATTCATCTTATGATTTACCAAACAGAAATAAATAATTTCTGAATAAAATCTTCATGTTAAGTTCTGCCCTTACAGAGGTCAGTCAGTACCTGTTTTTCAATCTATACAAAGCCTGTCAGTCCGCTGCCTGCCTCACAAACGCGAGGTCCCGAGTTCAATCCCTGGTACCAAAGCCCATCAGTGGTGTGAGCAATAAGCCCAGCTGAAATCAGTTTTAAAAAATGTTTTGCAGTATCACTTTCTAGTCAGAAGAACTATATCATTAAAAAAGAATCCTCTTTAAATAATACCTTTCTAAAAAAAATAAGCAATATTTTTAATTTAAAATATATTACCTTACAGTTTTCAAACATCTGTCAGTTGACTAGTTAGTGGGAGACCTATCAGTTGCTCATGTTTATCATTCATCTCAAAGTCATAATCAACTTGATGGCTTTATCTGTTGTACATTTTTAAATGAATCATTGGTCAATAATCAATCATAAGATTCACTGATATTTTATCTACTAACAACTCAGGAGCATAAGTATGATAGTGGTCCCGCATATTTGCCTCAAGGTAGTTGCCTCTGTGTGTAAATTGTATTCATTTTAGGGGAATTGTTGTCTAGCATATTATGATGTCTAGCACTCCAGAAATCATGACAAAAAGGTAGTATAATGTATGACTAAGTCAAATTTGTTTATTTGTTTTGGGAAATAAAAGAGTTAACTACATATGTAAAGACTTATCTAGAAGACTAGGGTTGCAAACTGTTTTTTACGTACAGTTGTTTAAAAAGAAATTTTAAATTATTTTTTAAAGCCAGCTTTTTCAAAAAGTCTAAAAGAATTTCAAATAGAACCCTCCCCAACTTGGAGGGCCAATACCATTTTCATTGTCGTTTGAATAAAACCTCAAAATCTATCATGAAAGTGGATAACTGTGACAGTTAAGCTTAATTGCAGCTTGACTAGGTGAAGAGACTCCTAGGGTGGTGAGAGGTCACAGGGCACCATCTGCTCTTCTGTAGTAATCCATGGAGGCTGTGCTGTCAGGAGGTGTGGCCCAGTTGGAGATGGGCCCCTGAGCGGAACCTGTGAAGGACGGTATAGGTCTCCTGCCTCTGCTCCCCGCAGCATGAACCGAGCAGCTGTGCTCCACCAGGCCCTTCCACCATGATGTTTCTGCATTGGAGCAGCCAACAATGAAATTAAACCTCTGAAAGTATGAGCCAAATTAAACTTCTCTTTTCAGTTGTGTGTGTTGGGTATTTTTGTCCCACAAATGGGAAAGCTGACAAATACAGTAATTATATAAATCCCTTTTGTCATGCCATTCTATATTTTCATAACTTTTAAAATTAACTGAAAACCATTAATGTCATTTGTAAAGTAGTAGGAAAAATAGTATATGAATGTCATTTTGGGGGAGTACCAGGGATTGAACTCAGGACCTTCTACTTGCAAGGCAGGCAGCAGCACCTCTGAGCTAAATCCCTGGCCCATGAACATCATTTTTTTATTCAAGATTTTATAATACTAATAGTGCAGTAAATCTTTTTTTCAGAAAAACTTAAAAACTCACTGTATACTACCTCTTATTCTGGTCTATGAAAAATATCATAGAATGATAAGGAGGTTTTGATAACTATTTGGGAAATGTTGCTGCTTTAGAGAGTCGTGGTGGGCCAGTCTAAGGAAATGCTGAATGAGCCGGGCGTGGTGGCGCATACCTGTAATCCCAGCACTCAGGAGGCTGAGGCAGGAGCTTCACAGTGAGTTCAAGACCAGCCTGGGCTACACAGTGAGTTCCAGGGCAGTCTGAACTACATAAGTGAGACCCTGTCTCCAAAAAAAAAAGGAAATGCTGAATGCTTTGCAGAAATTTTCTCTTTAAAATATTTTCTGAGAGAACAATGAATAAAAATGCTGTTTGTAGTTTCATCATCTCTATGGTAAGGAATTTAAATTTAAATTTTTTATTTTTGTGGTGCCTTGCAGGTGCTAGGCAAGTGCTGTACCACTGAATGATGCCTCCAGCCTGGAACTGTTTGCTTTTAAGATAGGATATATGTGTATGAATTAATCACATCTTGGAATAGGTGGCAATATCAATAAATACTTGAATGTTTTGAAGATAATAAAAACCTATATAATATTTTAATTAATATAACCTGTTAAAATTATACACATGTTGCTTTTTGTACTCTTTAAAGTTTTGTTCTAATTCACAGGTGTGTGTGTGTGTGTGTGTGTGTGTGTGTGTGTGTGTGTGTGTGTGTGTTTTAAGACAGAGACTTGCTCTGTAATTCAGGCTGGCCTTGAACTAAGCATGTAGTCTAGGCAGGCCTTGAACCTAGGACAATTCTTCTGCCTCAGCCTCCCAAGTGCTTAGATTACAGGTGTGCTCCATCACACCTGGCTCATAGTGTTATTTCTTATTAGCCATTTCACTAAAGATTGTCAGCTATATAATTATGGAAAATGTTTCTTTAGAATTTTTAGCAATTATGTTACTATTTCATTTTTATACTTAGAATCATAGTATGAAATGGATTAGACATAAGAGGTAGGACCTACATATGATTTTGGGGGAGTCCTTTATTTTCTAATTTTGGTTTTAATTTTAATGATTATTGTTCTTCGGGACTGGACTTTTGAGAAATCTGATCTGTGTTTCTTTCATGATTTTTGTGTGGAGCCCAGACTGTGCAGGCTGAGCAAGTGCTCTCCTGCTTAGGCCTCACCCCCAGTCTTTTTCTCCTGTAATAAACTTTCACACAGGTTTTCTGGATTAGTGTGCTTTCCTAATCTTGCTCTACCACATCAACTCTGGAGCATGTCAGTTCTCATGCTGATCATTTGCTTTCTAGTTTGTTTCTGCGCAGTCACACCTTACTAGAGTGGAGTTCAGACTGTCTGCTCATACAGACCTGGCTTGCACTCTTGGAAGCAGCTGTCTGTCATTATGTGTTACATTTTGGCAAACCTGTGTCGTTTTTTAAAGACAGTAAGTGGACAGTCACCTGATAGTGGCAGTCTTAAGCTCTGTAGTTCATTATGGTCTTTTCTTGAATTACCTTTGGGTATCAGTGCTGTTCTAGAATGTCTTATAAGCTGAGTTGAGAATGTTCCCTGCATTTGTGTTCTCCAGAAGCATTTAATATTAAGATGATCTGTTCTCTGTTCTTTAAAACTCCCATATAAACTTATCTCAACCTGAAATTTTCTTACTGGGAAGGTTTCTTTTCACAAGTGGTTTATATTTATTTATTTATTTAAGTTTCTTGGGATTTTATTTCTTATTTGAAACTTCGAATACACAAAGTTGTATAATATTTATCAAGTAGAAATTTAAAACCAACTGGCTGTTTCATATTAAGGGATTATTTCTTGTAAGATGAGATAATGGTGTTAGCTTGTATTTTTAGTCTTTATGCTTTGTAGATGCATACCTAAACAACAGATGAATTGTCATGTCTGCAGTGTCCTTCACTGTAATATGGGTTGTGGAAAGTGAATGAGAATGGGTTAGGATTGACTATGTGATTGGACTTATGTAGAGGGATATCTAAGTGATATGATTTTTAAATCATTTTAATGATTTCTGATTTGATTATTGGCTTTTAGCTAAATTTGGTTGTGATAACATCATGTGTGAGTTTCTTTGAAAATTACCAAGACTTTCTTTATGGACTAATTCACAAGCAAGTTTTTAGCTATTTTATGTTTGCTTGAAAAGAATATATAATCCTTTATTATTGGTTGTGGGATTCTACATTTGTCCATTTAATGGAGCTTTTTAATGTTTGGTTGGGTTTCTCTTTTCCATTTTTAATAGTGTTTTTTTCTGTTTCCCATCTGCAGGTTGCACTGAACATAGATTAAAATATTGTTTCATACATCGATAGTTGAACTTAGACAGTGATCATGTTCACATTTGATTTCTTTTTCCAAGGCTGTTACAGAATGGCGAGGTGCTGCTTGATCACGAGGCTTGAGTAGTTAGTTGTCTTCTTTCCTGTAATGTTAGCAGCTGTGATGTGTAGTGATATAGAACCTTGATCCTTTAGTTCATTAACAGTTGCAGAAGGATGAGCTTACTCTAGTTAGTCCTTCATTTCCTAGCTGGAATGCTTTTGTAATCTAGTTTCATTTATATGTCTGTTGAGCTGCTTATTTTTCATTTATTTGCTGGCGTTCGGGATACAAAATTTTTCCCCTACTTTATTCCAGTGGTTAGCATACTGTCTTACCCATATCGAATGTTTTACTCTGTGGCATTTATTGTTCTTATTAATGTGTACTTTGTCACATCATCAGTCAGGGGAGGCCTTTTCAGACCCTTTTGGCATGACCATGGTCTTTGACAGCTTTTTAAAAAAATCTAGGTAAGATATTCCAAACTCATCACATATATTTCTTTCTCCATTGAGCCCTGATTCCTTTTAATGAGAAATAGCATTTAGATATCACAATATGGATGTTAAGACTATGCATTTCTCTAGGATAGCCTAGAAGATGTCTCATTATGATTTTAGTGAACATGACTAATTTTAAGGTGATATGAAAAGTCTTTGCTGATTACATTATTACATTAAGGAATTGATTTTTATTACCAAGAAAGAATTAATATTGATAAAAATACTTAAATTTTTCAGCTGAATTGCTAGTATCTCATTTTAAAAAGGTTTTTGATAGATTTCTAGCAGATATTTATAATTTATTGATTCATAATTTATTGCTTTTTTTAGATGCTGTATTAACTAAATGAAAATGTTGAAACAGTATTGCATATTTTAATCTGTCTACTTAACAGATTTTAATAGCACTTTGCTAAATGTTTCTTTTTTTCCCCATAGGTCATTTTAGTGTCTGCCAATAAACTGACTCGTTACATTGAGCCATGCCAGTTAACAGAAGATTTTGGTGGGAGTCTCACCTATGATCACATGGACTGGTTAAATAAGAGGCTGGTCAGTACATTTCAATGAGATAAATTATTATTGCATATACATCAGACATTTTAACACCTTTATTTCTATAATCAAAAAAAATGTAGATTATTTTCCTTTTCACAAAAGTGGAGAAATTCGTTGCATACCACTTTTTAGGATGTTTGAGGACAGTTAGTCTGGAGTTAGACCACGTGATGAGAATCCTGACACCAGTTGCTGGTATGTGACCTTTAGGATGTATCTAATCTCTCCATGTCTCCTTTTCACATCTCTACTATGGTAAGAATAGTAGTCCTACCTAGTGAGATTGTGAGTAAAACGAAATGAACATACAGTTAAACCATTTAGGACAGTACCCGCATATTACATTAGTACTCGGTGAAAGTTATCTTTTAGTAGCATCAGTAACAGCTGTAAATTGTTTTAAGTAGACAAGCTAGCACAGTGTCTTCAGAGGTAGTTGAATTGGTACATACTTTTCAGAGACTATTTATCAATTTGAGTAATTTGATATAATAAACTTTTCATTTCTGAAGTTGTATTTTCTTTGTCCAGATTTCTGTAGCCTACTATCTGAATAATATGACATTGTTTTAATCAACTGCTAAAAGAAAGTCTTAAGTTAGTTTAGATTTAGATTATGTGTTAAAATCATGGGAGAATCATGAATTTATAGTTATCTCTGAATGGATGAACATTTCTGTTTCTACTATACTTGCTCAGTGGTATCAAACAAATGTGTATCTACTTTATTAAACGCATTTAAACAGATTTGCCCTAATCTTTTTAGGAATAATTGAAGAAATCAGATTAGAACTAATTTATCTGTATGCTAAACGCTTATCTGTAAAAAAACAATTTTTAATAGTATATGTTTGCTATGCATAGTAATTATATGCAGCATGGGGGTTTAATATATATTTATATATTACATCTTAATCATTTTTACTCTTGATCATCTTGATACATCTTGATCATTTTCCTTAGCATGATTTTTATTTTGCTCCGTAAATTTATATTTTGAGTCTCAGAGAAAACATATGATATTTAACCTTTTTTGACTTATTTCACTCAGAAAACAGGTAAGCTTTTCTGATTGAAGAATAAAAAACTTTTTCTTAACATTTTAAAAAAATGCTTTTTCCATTGAAACTAGATTATTTGAATGTGTGATTTTGTCTTGTTTTGTACACTGCTGTGCTGCAGGGGTTGAATTGTACTTCCTGGGAATTGCTAATTATGTTGCTCTTAACTAAAAATCCTTTTACATATCAATTTTTAATATCTTATTATGTTAATTAAATTTATACTGTAGGTTTTTGAGAAGTTTACAAAGGAGTCTACTTCATTATTAGATGAACTTGCTTTGATTAACAATGGAAGTGATAAAGGAAATCAGCAAGAGAAAGAAAGGTAGGTGACTGATGGCATATAATGGTATTCTTGCAAAGTTATGATTAATCTGCTAGAGGATACTGTATCGTTAGTGCAAAAGAACTATGATAAATAAGACTCTAGTCAAAACTGATATATTTGTAAAAATTTGCTGTTCTTATACAACATTCTAATTTGAATACTTTCTTTATAGAAGCTACTTTTTGTTAAATAGTAATAGAAGCTACTTTTTGTTACATTTTTGTAACACTAGAAAATACTAAGTCAGGAGAACATTTTAAAAATGAAATATTCCACTTTGTATCTCTAATGTTTTCTGGTAAACAATATGAAAACAGTTGCAATTTAAAATTAAATCACTGTGGGCTGGGGATTTAGCTCAGAGGCACCGCTGCCTGCCTCGCAAGGGCAAGGACCTGAGTTCAATCCCCGGTACCCAAAAAAAAGAATTTAAAATAAAATTATTGTAACTTTATTTAACTGTATTTAGCACTTAAATGCCTAGCTTGTAGGGCTTCATCTGGCCTTTGTAGAATGGATTTAACTTAGAGAATTTATTGTTTTATAACCCTGGATAAAGTAATTGTTGAGTTGTATTCTCTATATGTAGCTTCTTAGATTTATCACTTTAACAGATTTCCATTAAATTTAATGTTATCAGTTTTTATTTTTCTCTTGATCAGGAGGCCAGGTTCCTTTCCTTTTGGTAAAAAAGTACTTTAGGAATCACATCAGCTCTTTCTGGTCTCTTCATTACTGGTCATGAGGACAATAAGTTTTCATTAGGAAATTTTTTATTAGGAATCAACAGGCATCCTTGTCTATCTCCTTTGTGTGTGGCCTTGAATATAGAGTAGAACCATGATAAATGTATTTTATTCCATGAATCCAGATATAGTCACATATCAATAAACCAAAACAACAGGTAAGAGGGATGTAGAAGGATCCTAATTTTAGTATTAGATCTTCATCAAAACCAGATCTAAATGTGAAAACAGAGTTTGAATGTAAATCTAGTGTTCCCACAAGCAGTTAGGAACATTCTATTCTGGAGATACCACTTGAAAACAAATACTTAAATAATACAGTGTGTACATGTGTACTGCTGTCTCATAAACACAGAGGAACTGAAGGTGTCAGTGAAGTTACTTCATAAAAATTAGCAGAAATTAGTGAAATATCTTTATTTTCTGATTAGTCCATCAAAGTAAGTTTGATGTTTCCAAGTTTCATTCCTCAGGAAAGACGTTCAGAGAGGGTGCTTGTAGAAAATGAGTCCATGGTCAGTGTAATGGTGTCGACTGTGTTTCCTCTTTAGAATAACTAAACATTATAGATCAAGGGTTCTGAGAAACCACTGCAATGGAGAGACCTATTTTAATTAGTTGCTTCATTAGAATGTCCCATCCTTTTTGCTTTACTAGTAATGTCTTGCTTGAGGTTTTGAGAAACGCTTTGGGAAATGATGGTTCACCATGTCTACACAAAATATTAAATGACATCTTGTATTTGTGAGTCCCTCTTCAAGTTACTCAAATGTTATTGCTTAGTTTCATTTTTACTCAGATAATAAAGTTCCCACTCACAAAATTTCATCAGCTTTTTTTTTGGTATCGGGGATCAAACTAAGGTCCTTCGGCAGGCAGCAGAACTACTGAGCTAAATCTCTGGCCCTCATCACCTTTTTAATGTCTGTCCTCAGGAAGCATAGAGGCTACACAGGGGTGAGGGCTTAGATCAGGTGACAAAAAGGAAGGCTCTACTTCAAGGCTGATGAGTTACTGCTTATAGCATCATGTTGCTTGGCTTTGATTTGCCAGGTTCCTTATTTTGTCTTAATCTTTTTTCCAAATGTGTTTTAGGAAAATAAGGCCAAAATCCATCTGCACAAGAAACATAACTAGATTAGGGAAGAGAGAGTATAACCATTTCTCTGTGTGTGTGTATGTGTGTGTGTGTGTGCTCACACACATGCATGCCGCACACATGTGCACAGGCACACATGTGCCACATGGGCACACACACCCCCAGATACCTATACCCCTGCGGTACAGAGAATATTTGCAGGTAACAAAAGCTGCTGTAGATAAATGGAAAATGCTTGGAGACCTTTTAAATGTACATTTCTCATTGCCATGTAGCTAAAAATTTCATTTTGAACAAGTATAAAAATAGATTCATTTGATCCATTTTATTTTTTAAAATTAATTTTATTGGTACATTTAAGGTATACAATATAGTGACATTCTCTTTTGGTATATTTTAGACAGTACTATAAATAGTTAACTATTTTTGTTTGTTTTTTGAAAAGTTTTTTTGAGACAGTGTCTCACTATGTAGTGAGACTGACCTGGAACGAAGTAGTTCAGGCTTGTCTCGAACTCACAGCGATTCTCCTTCCTCAGTCTCCCAGGTGCTGGGATTACAGGTGTGCACCACCACGCCCAGCTCTAGTTAACTGTTTTTGCACATAGTGTGATTTTATGCTTTTAAAACTTGATTTGTCACATTGATATTTCTTTGGCTATTAGAATTTAGTTTTTAAAATGGGCTTCTTTATACTTAAGAGGAATAAGCGAGGTAAAAATAGAATGTTCTCAGGTTTTCATACTTGCATATTTCTGTTTTGATATTATATATGAAGGAATTTTTTTTTTTTTGTACTGGGGATCGAACTTGGGCCCTTACACTTGCGAGGCGGGCAGCGGAACCACTGAGCCAAATCCCCAGCTGGAATTTCTTAAGTTATGTGAATAGAAATATAAGTTTTAAAAATGCCTCTCTTGGTGCTTGCCAGGTCTGTGGATTTAAACTTTCTTCCATCGGTTGACCCCGAAACAGTTCTTCAGACAGGTAAGATGAAAGAATAATATTTACTATTAGTGAGAGCAGTCCAGTGAAGCAGTTGTATTGGTTAGTCCATTGATTCAGCATGTATGTGGTACACATTATAGAAATTGAAGAGGAAATGTTTCAGCTCCTTTTTGGTTTAACCTAACAGTATGTTGATAACCTTTATAGCATTTAAAATTAACACTTTATCTCGCTCTTGAAATATTTGGACTGGTTTTTTTTCTTTGTTTTCTGGTGCTGGGTATAAACACAGGGCCTCACTTAAGCTAAACAAGTCCTCTACCACCACTCTACATCCCTAGCTCTGGATTTATTATTCTGTAAAATAGAGAAAAATTTCTTCTTCATTTAGTTGTTAGGAGGATTATTGAATATCCATTATGTGGCAGGCCTCGTATTTTATATTTCTTTTTCTTTTTTTTTTGGTACTGAGAATCAAACTTGGGACCTTGTGCTTGTGAAGCAGTTGTCAGAACCACTGAGCTAAATCCCTGGTCCTGTATTTTTATATTTCATTCTCTGAGTAATCTTTTTGTTTGTTTGTTTTTGTTTTGTTTTGTTTTTGGAACCGGGGATCAAACTAGGGACCTTGCACTTTCGAGGCAGTGGCGACACCACAGAACTAAATCCCCAGGCCCCTCTCCTAATAATCTTTGAGATAATATTTTTTCTCTGTTTTGTACTTGAGAAAGCAAATGCATAGAGATTTAAAAAAAAACAACTCAGTAACAGTTTGTTCAAAATCAAGTAAGTATTAAGCTCTATAACCATACTTCAGAACAGGCTTAAAGGCAAAGCCAGTAGTTATACTGTGTTGTAGTCATCTATGTAAAAACTCTTAGCCTGTTGCAGTGATCTTGCAAACAGGGAGTACTCAGTGCTGCTTGAAGTATATAGTCTCTGGTAGCTATTTCATGAATTCTATGTGAACAAATTGGAATTATTTCAATTGGAAGTAATTTTATTTCTAATCAAATTTTTGTAATAATAATAACTCATAATTCTAATCTGACTGTATACCAGGTACTGTTTTAAATTGTTCACGTGTTGATTCAGCGATTCCTCAGCACAGATCTGTGAAGTAGGTTCTGTTATCACCCCTATTTTAAGAGGGGGGGAAAAGTGAAGGATAATAAGGTTAAGTAGCTTATGCAAGGTATGTAGCCAGTACCTGAACCCAGGAAGTTTGGTTTCAGAATACATGTATTCTTTGAAATAATTATTTGTGCTGCTTCTCTAATGGAAACGGTATCCATAAGGAATACATTATGGGTATCAATTGTAAAAGTAGAGAAAATAAATGTATTCTGATGTTAATGCCTTTTTTGTGTGTGTATAGAGTTTTTGCAAAGATTTAGATATTTTTAAACATTTGCACAAATATTTAGGACAGATATTTCTCCAATGATAAAATATAATGAAGAGTTAAAATTTTTTTGAATATTTTTGTTCTATTGATTTAATTGTCCTAAATTTTCCCAGTATGAGTAGATCTTTTTTCCTTAGAGAACAAAGAAATACTTGAAATCACTGAGTTCATTTGTAGAATTGCAATAGACTATCAGTTAAAATATTACTTTACATTTGAAACTTGATTCTATGTATATATGTAACATTTTGAAAGCTTCTTTAAACCCATTGAATTAAGAAGCTTTTAAAATTTGTATTTTAAAATTAACTTCATATGCCACTAAATCTAATTCTATTAGCTATTAATTCTTAAGGTAGGGATTGGAAGAGTATAAAATGGAGAGGTATAGAACAATCTAGAGATTTCTAAAAATTAAAAATAACTCTAAAGCATAATAAAAGTTCTGTTTCTTTATAATGAAAAACATTTACATTTGGGGGATACTTTCTAAATAAAGATGAAGAGAATTTGTATATTGTTTTGGAATCTAAATAATAATGAGAACAGTTTTATTCTTGAAAAGCATACTTAATCAGAGCAGAAATCAGTGAAATGGAGACTAAGAGAATGATACAAAAAAAAGAAATCAATGAAGCAAAGAGTTGGTTCTTTGAAAGAATAAACAAGTTTGACAAACCCTTAGCCAACCTTAACAAAAAAGGAAAGAAAAGGCCCAAATTCATGAGTTAGGAATAAAAAGGGTGAAATTACAATGGACCCAGCAGAAATCCAGAGGATTATTAATACTTACTATGCCAATAAGATGGAAAATACAGAAGATATGGACATATTCCTAGATATGTATGAATTACCAAAGTTGAACAAGAAGACCTAAAAATTTTATAAACATCCCAATATCAATCAACAAAATTGAAAACATAATTAAAAACTTACCAACTAAAAAAAGCCTGGGCCTTGCTGGTTTCACTGCTGAATTCGATGACATTTAGAGAAGAACTACTGCCAGTACTGTTTAAACTCTTCAGTGAAATTTAAAAGGGAAGCAATAATCCTAAATTCATTCCTGGAAGCATTACTTTGATCCACAAAGCAGAGAAACACCCAAACAAAAAAGAGAACTATAGGCCAAACTCCATAATGAACATAGATGCAGAAATCTTAATAAAATACTGGCAAACAGAAAGCAGAAGATCATCAAGAAGATCATACACCCTGACTAAGTAGTTTTCATCCCATGGATGCAGGGCTGATTCAACATACGCAAATCAATAAATGTAATGCACTATATTAGTAGAGCCATATGAGCATCTCAATAGATGCAGAAAAATTATTCAACAAAATCCAACACGCATTTATGAAAAAAACCCTCCCCAAAATTGGAATAGATGGTCTCTACCTCAACCTGATAAGAGCCATCTATGAAAAACCAATAGCCAGTATCATACTAAATGGTCAAAACCTGAAATCCTTCACACTAAAATCAGGAACAAGACAAGGATGTCCATTATCACCACTACTGTTCAGGATAGTTTTGAAAACATTAGCAACAGCATTTAGATGAGAAAGAAATAAAAGGAATAAAGATAGAAAATGAAGAAGTCACATTGTCATTATGTGCAGACAACAGGATACATATAGAATATGCCAAGAACTCAACCAAAAGTCTTCTAGACTTAATAACCAAAAGAAGTAGAGTAACTGGATACAAGATCAACATACAAAAATCAATCAATAGCTTTCCTGTACATGAACAAAAGACTCACTGAGAGAGAAATGGGGCAAACAATTTCTTTCACAATAGCATCCAAAAAATTGAAATACCTAATGAAAGAAATCAAAGACCTCTACTCTGAAAACTACAGCACCCTGAAAAAAAGAGATCAAAGATGATATCAGAAAATGGAAAGACATCCCTTGCTCCTGGGTAGGAAGAACCAACATAGTGAAAATGGCCATGCTACCAAAACTGTTATATAGATTCATTGCAGTCAATTGAAATTTCTGCAGCATACTTCATGGACCTTGAGAAAACAATCCAACGATTCATTTGGAACAAGATGAGACCTAGAATAGCAAAAGCAATTCTAGGCAATAAAAACAAGGTAGGGGGTATCAAAAATTTCTCACCTTGAAACTTTACTACAAAACTACTGTGATTAAAAACAGCATGGCACTGGCAAAGAAACAGACCTGAGGAGCAATGAAACAGATTAGAAGATGCAGAAATAACTCCAGACACACTCAGCCACCTTGTCTTGGACAAAGGAGCCAAGCACCCTCACTGGAGGAAAGATAGCCTTTTTAATAAATGGTGCTAGAAAAACTGGGTTTGCGCTTGCCGAAGACTAAAACTAGACCTATATTTCTCACCATGCACTAAACTAAGATCAAAATGGATTAAAGATCTAAATATTAAAGGAGAAACACTAAACCGGCTGCAAGAGAGGTTAGGTAGAACTACTGAAGACATTGGCATAGAAAAAGATTTTATGAACAAAACCTCAGTTGTACGTGAACTAGAATCAACAACTGGGGTTTTATTTTATTGAATAGCTTTTGCACAGCAAGAGAAACCAACAGTATGAAGAGAAAACCCACAATATGGGAAAAAAAATTTCACCAGCTGTTGCTCAAAGGTCTACTATCTAGAGTATATGTAGAATTTAAAAAAATCAGACCTCCCAAATTAAAGACCCAGTCTAAAAATGTGCATCTGGAATGAACAGACATTTCTCAGACAAAGAAGTTGAAATAGCAAATAAACATGAAAACATGTTCAGCATCACTGGTCATTCAAGAGATACAAATGAAAACAATGCTGAGATTCCACCTCCAGAAAACATGGCTACTATCATGAAATCAACCAATAATAAATGCTGGGAGGCTGTGGGGAAAAAGGGACCCTGCTCCCACTGCTGGTGGGAATGTAGACTGGTGAAACCACTGTGGAAATCAGTATGGAGATAGCTCAGAGAACCTGGATCAGAAGTCCCATTTGACCCAGATATTTCTCTGCTTTGTATCTTCCCAAAAGAATTAAAAGAATCATACCACAGTGATATATATATATATATGCACCCATGTTCATAGTAGCATAGTTTGTAATAGCTAAAACTTGGAAACAACCCAATTGCCCATCAACTGGAGACTGGATAAAGAAAATGTGTTTTTTTTTAAAAAAAAAATAAAGTGGAGTACTACTCAGCCAAAAAGAAAGAGATATGAGAGACATTTATAGCTAAATGGATGCACATTGAGGTGATATACATATGTGTAAATACCGAATAGTTTCTCTGGGGTGAGAAACTGAAAGTGTAATAAAGGACTAAATGGTATAACAGATAATGTGAAATAAGAAAAAAAGGGGCAGACCCCTGTATCAGGGATCCTAAATGTGACCCAGCCTTTTAGTTTGTACCTGACTAAAAGAAATACTGCTTTAGGGGTGCTCCTTGAAGGAATAGGCCCATAGAATTAGCCAGTGATATATTTATCTTAGAGTTTAGATCCAGCTGTGAAGAGATAGTTCCTTTGTTTATAAAGCCCTGGCAGCTGCAGTAATGGCTAATTGAGAAAGCTGACCAGATAACATTAGGAAAAAGTAAATTATTCAGTTTTCCCATGCCTTTTAGAACTATTGAATAACAGGACATTCATGGCTCTCAAATAATAGAGTCACATAATATCAGGCCCTCATCTGTGAAAATCCCCCCTTATATTTTGCTCCAGTTAAAACCTTAAACCCTGCTACTTTTTGCCCTCGGAACCTGGCCCCCTGACCATGACTGCCTCAGTGTCACTGACGAATTGTTCTCCAGTCATCTAGATCTGCAGAAAGACCCCCTGCCTGAGGCTGATTCCTTCCTGCTCAAGGATGGGAGCAACTTCATAGAAAATGGGGTACGCTATGCTGGCTATGCAGAGATGACTCAAGATGAAGCGGTCCAAGCAGGACCCCTCCCCACTGGATGGTCAGCTCAATGAGCAAAAACTGTGGGCACTCATACAGGCTCTGCAATGGGCAAAAGGAAAGAGGGTAAATGTTTATACAGATTCCTGGTTGCCACTCGATGTATCTATGCCACAGTCTGTAAAAATGTGGGCTTCTCACAGCAGAGGACAAACTTATTAAAATTAAACAGGATATAAATATAGTTATTTAAGGCAATGTGGAAATCTGACAAAATAGCTATAATAATTAAAAAAAAAATTCCAAGGTTTGGTCTGCCTCTCTCCATAGGCAGTGACAATGGGCCAGCATTTATAACAGAGGTTATAGAGACTTTATAAAATTATCTCTTGGGCTTATCCAGTATAAAATCACAGGGGTTAAAATTGTGCAAGTATTTTTAAAAAAATATTCAAGGGTAAATTAAAAAGACCTCCCTGTGATGTTAAAATTTAGAAAAGGACCCCTTTCTGACCTATATAGAAAGGGCCATATGAGTCACTTATGGTTACTCCCACAGCTATCAAAGTAGCTGAAACTCAGCTACCACTACTCTAGAGTAAAACAGAATTCCAGGGATTCTGACTCTAGGAGGCCAAGAGACAACGCACTCAAAGCCCTGCTCTCACCACACTGGAAGCTGGTGAGTCTACGCACGGCTGAAGAAGGAGAACTACAATCTAGATATAGACTCTTATATTGTGTCAAGCTGTTATGAGTTATTATACTTCTAAATTAAGAGTTTATGAGCCTACAGATGATAAAAATATGAAAACTTTTTGTGCTCTGGGAATCCTAATCCCCAATTTAGCTAAGAGGATGCCTTTACAAATTGCTGTGACCCCTTAGCTAAAAATTTAAGTAAAACAATGAATCAAGGATTTGATTCTACCTAAGATCAGTGGGGATTGTAAGACTTGAATAAGCTAAAGTGACTCCATGCTAATAGGCCAGACTGTGCTTCTTCATATGCTAATTGCTACCTTGGTTAACAGCCCGCCCAGGGGCAAATGGTTTGACAAAAGGTGACCTTAGAACATTTCCTGCATACGATAAGCAATGTGTTTGCAGTCTTGTTCTGTGAATTCCCTGACTCTTTGTTTAGAAAAACCTTATAAAAAGTACCTCAGCCCCTGAGCAGTTGCCTCTCTGAGTTTTTTAAAAAAAAAAAAAAAAAAAAAGAAAAAGAAAAAGAAAAAAGGGACAGAGAGGGAGGGGGAGGGTAAAGGAAAGAAGGGAATGGAATTAATATAAAAAAATGGAAACAAAATCTTTGTAAATAGAAAGGTGTGGAGGAGTTGAAGGGAGGGCAGGGGAATGGGGAAAAAAAATAAGAACCAACATAGAATATGTAAAGATACACATTTTCAATGATGAATGTTATTATATACCTAAAATGTATCAATAAAGTTAATAAAAAAGAAAAGCATACTTAAACTTACTTGAAAGATATGTATATGCCTACAGATTTAGTTGCCCATTCTATTAATTTTAATTTATCCTGTAAATGTGGATTTCCTATGTTAATTTTCTATAATTGAACCATTTTCAATGTAGTGTGTATGATGTGTCATGAGTCGACCGTTAATATGCCATAGAGATTCCTGTAGAGATGATGTAAATATCATTTGATACTAGTAATAAACACTTTCTCCATTTATGCTAATCATACATTGATTTCACTGTCATCCTTTCTTGTTCTGTGATTGAAATATAGATCAATACTGAAAGCCTACAACATGCTGCTTAGATTAGTGCCATCAGACAGAAATTCCAGACTGTACTTTTGCTCTATAAGGAAGCATCATTTATCAGCACAGTGTCCTGAGTAGTGAATCCACCAATAAAAAGAATGTGATAAGTGGATAGATAGAAAATTTATAGTACCACATATGTTATATAGCGTATAATTGGCATATATGTTTACAGTATGTGGAAGAGCATTTTCATATATTTTCTAATAGTACATATATAGAATAATGTATCCACATGTATATTTGTGTGTTGTGCAGCTTTTGTACTTAAAAGTGCATTTTACTACTTATGACCTAAAGGCAGGCGAATAGGTAAATGGATAGATTTTAAAGCAAAGGACTAGAATTTAGCAGATTGAGAAGTGAGAGATGTTTTTTATTTTTGGTTCTGGGAATCAAACTCAAGACCTTGCACTTGTGAGGCAGGCATGGTGCCACTGAGCTAAATCCCTGGCTGAGATGTATTTCTTAATGGGCATTAATTATGGGTATCTTTCATTTGTAAAGGACATGAATTGTTATCCGAATTACAGCAGCGTCGATTTAATGGCTCTGATGGAGGTGTCTCATGGTCTCCTATGGATGATGAACTGCTTGCACAGCCACAGGTTATGAAATTATTAGATTCACTCCGAGAGCAGTATACTCGCTACCAGGAAGTTTGTAGGCAGCGTAGTAAGCGCACACAATTAGAAGAAATTCAACAGAAGGTGATGCAGGTAGGTGTCTGATTTGAATATAGCTGTCTTTAATTCTAAATTCTTTTTGCCTGGTAATTTCTATTGGGTGACTGACTTTGTATTTTTATTTACACTATAGTAGAACTTTAGACCTTTTCAAATTAGATTATAAAATTAGTTTAGCTATGTATCTTTCATACAAAGTATCTGAATTAAAGTAATACTTTAATATTTTACTTCACCTACTCATGACTTTCTGTCTGTTTCTTCCTTTCTATCTTTCCTTCTTTTCCTTTTATTAATTGAAATAGAGATCGTGACACTTCTTTTGAAAGGCTAGTGTTTGGGAAAAGCCTAACATTCAATTAACGGTAGCTATGATATTTATTTCTGTTGAATGAAACTCTAAAGACTTAGTTCAGATGTGGGTGAATTTTTTTGTCTGAAAAGCTAAATATTTAAGCTTCACAGACCAGTCTTGGTTGTAGTTATGCTGCATTTCTCTGCCACTGTAGTAGAAGAGCAGAAATAAGCATGTTAATGAATGTGCATGCCCTTTTTCCAATAAAACGTTAAAAATGGTTGGTGAGCTATTGACCCACAGGATATATATTTTGCTGACTGTTAAACTAGAGCATCAAGATGTCATAGTAAAAAAGACTTGGAGGTAGGAGTTGGATCATGGAACATGTTGAATTCCAGACAGAATGTTGTATCTCTAATCCATGACAACCACATATTCTTTTTTGGGGTGTTTGTTTTGTTCTTTGGGCTTTTTTGTTTGTTTGTTTTTTTGAGACAGGGTCTCACTATGTAGTTGAGACTGACCTGGAGCTCATTATGTAGTCTCGAACTCACAGCCATCCTCTTCCCTCAGCCTCCCAAGTGCTGAGATTACAAGGCATGTGCCACGCCCGGCTAACCACATATACTTTTAAGATTTCTGAGCATTCATTAATTAAATGTGACTTTTTCTATGGTTTGTTTGTTTTTTTGAGACAGGGTCTCACTATGTAGTTGAGACTGACCTGGAGCTCATTATGTAGTCTCGAACTCACAGCCATCCTCTTCCCTCAGCCTCCCAAGTGCTGAGATTACAAGGCATGTGCCACGCCCGGCTAACCACATATACTTTTAAGATTTCTGAGCATTCATTAATTAAATGTGACTTTTTCTATGTCCTAATGTTAAAATACAGTTTCTGATAAACCTAAGTACTCTTTAGTTAGTTTGAAATTATCTTTGAAAAAACACAAAAAAATGGAATAGCATAGTGGTACAGAACTCAGATTCTGAGCCCAGGTTATCTGAGTCAGTGCTCTTTCCCCATTTCAAGCATCCCGACCTGGGGAAAAAGTTCCATGCCTCCATTCCTCATCAGTAAACAGAGAATGATGGCATTCCCTGTTTAATTGGATTGTCATGAAGATTACAAAGGTGATTTAAAAAAGAATTGTTTAGTGCCTGACACACATCAAGCTGTGTCTGTTGAGGTGTGGGCACAGAGACTGTGAGTGATAGGATTCATCTGCTAAGTGAGATGTGGGGTCAGAAGACAAAGGAGTTAATGTATTGACCAACACATTTTTGAAATGATGGTCTGGCCAGCTCAATCGGGTAAAGAAATTAGAGAAGGGAGATGATGATGGTATTTATATTGATGTGATGATGGTAGTGAGATGATTGTTAAAAACAGATAAATTTTATTACACCTCAGTTTTCTCTATTAGGATTACAAGTGAATTGATTGAAACATTAATATTCACTACATAATATTTTCCTGCACTTTTTCACAGATCACAATTTATGGGAAAATCTATTTCCCATGCCAAAGTGATTACTGAAATTTAATTTATAATAACACATTGATTATGTAACAAGAACTATACTACCTTTAGTCTTGCAAATTTGGGGAAAAGTTATCACTGAAAACATAATGCAAGAAGAATCAGTAGCTCTGATAAACTATTTCTTAAGTAATAACAGGACAGTTATCAGTCACTTATTCCCCACAGTTCAAATTGGCAGCATCAAACTTCATGTAGTATGCGAATATTCTGCATGTAGCTGCTGCTGTGATAGTTAACAATTGGATCTCATATGCTTTGGGGGTAGGAGACAGTGCCACTTCACTGAAATCTGTTATCATTATTCTCATTATTTATTGTGACAGTAATTACTGCCAACACTGCAAATGTTATTTCTAGAGTCATCCATGTGCTTTTCTTCCATTTTAGAAAAGGACCACAGACTTTAAATTGGACGCACTCTTGAGTTGCCTAAGTGTACAGCTAAGGGCTGTGTTCTTGGTCCCCATATCCTTTTTCCAGTCAGATACTTGATTTGCTTGACATGCCTTCCTAGTTTGTCCTTGCATACTTGCTGATACTCTCTCATAGTCTTTTGAAATCAGCCTAGCTATGAAAGAATAGTGGATAGTCACAGACATTTTGAGCCTATGAAAATATTTGTCATCGTAGATTTTTAAGAACTCATCTCCAAGGTTATACTTTGCATATAAATGACCCATTTGAAGGGTCACATTGCTATGGATTGGGCATAGAACTGTTTTTTGTAGTAAATTAATATTCAGATTAACTGAGCAAGATGTTGTGATTGAAATTAAGTTTTATGATGCATTTTGGCAAACCACCATCATTAATGCATTTAAATAGATTTGTTTACTGGGACATCAACCTCAATTTGCATCATTTTTATTGGAAATAGTCATACATTTACTGTGCCTACATTACTGATATTACATATGAAGGAAAATTACTTTCTGCATACATTAAAGCTACATGTGCCAAGGGAAGATCTTTGCTTTATTTAAAATTTATTTTAAAATTTTTGGCTCTTCTGAAATTTCATACTTAGTCCTTTTTGTTCTATTGTAACAATACCTAAGACTGAGTAATTCTCAAGGACAGAGATTTATATCTCACATTTCTCAAGGTTAAGAATTCCAAGGTTAAGAGACCAGCATCCAGTAAAGGCCTTCTTGTTGGGTTCTGTCTGTATGTTTTCACCATGTAACTGCTTAGAATTGATGCAAATTAGAAATGCCTTATGGTCAACATTAGGGAGGCAGAGCCTTGAAGGCAGGTGTATGAGTTATTTGCGATCATGTATAACTTGGATCTAATGAGGGTTGGTTGGTTGCCAGAGGAGAGAGGTGGGAAAGAGGTGGGCAAGCAGTAAACAAGGAAGTTGGTCTTATAAAAAAGAGGTTTATAAAACCACTGAAATATGATTATAGCTGCATGGTAAATCATTAGAGTATTATAGTTTAATGTTAAGTAAAAAAACAAGATAGAAATACTTGCACTCTGAAAATTAGCTGTAGCTACTAAATGTGGAGTACATGTGGAAACTCTGTATGTGGACAGTTAATGGAATGAGATATGCATGATTTTTCCTTATGAAGTAGTACTTTAATTCTAAAAAATGAAGATGCATGAACTGTTAAAAATTTAAAAATGAATATATGTTAACCTGGTAACAACTAAAGTGCCCTGTGAAGTTACACCATTCTTATACGCAGTTCTAATGCAACGCTGTTCACTGCATCCATAATAAATCACACACAGCTGCTTTAACATTTTGGGAGCTGTCCTAAGTTTAGAGTTAGGGCGCAAATCTCTCTTCTTGAATTCCTTGCCCTGAGTTATAACAGTTAAACTTTGTAATATTTTTTGCTAAAATTTCTTCACTATTTGACTTGTGGATGAAGAGTTTACAAGTCTCTTCTCCAGCCAGATGATTTGATCTTTGCTTGACCAACCATCTCTTTTTTTCCTGAAAACCTGATAATAATTGGAATGTCAACTATGTGGCTAGGCCATATTGCTTATAATAAAAATTTTCCTAGGTCTGAACTGGGAGAACTATTAATTTTCCATGGATGGCATTATACTGGGCATCCTTGAGTTCAGTGACTCTCATGGGGCATGAAGTCCGATGCTGGAATGACTCCCATACCTGGCCCATGTGGATTTTACCTCCTTATGCCTCATTCAGGGGCCCAGAAGAGTGACACCTGGTACTGTCATCCTGGTGGATATAGCCCTCTGAGCAGACTGGTACCGGTGGGTCTTCTTGTGGGTCTAACATTCAGTAGATCCTAAGAAGACACCTAGACTCTTGCATAGTATAATTCTATATTAGCTTTTCATTTTTTTAAAGTGAGAAACTAGTATTTTGACTGTTAATTATTCAGTTTGCTTTGGGAAAGATGTTATACTATGAATCAGGACACATGCCTTTTAGTCCTAGTTATTGTGTAATATGTGGTTACCTTGGGCAAGACACTTAATCTCTCTGAAACTCAATTTTCTTGAGTAGTAGATAAGAACTTTGACCAGTGTAATTTCTGATGTTCCTTCCAACTCTAAGTCCTGTAATTTTCTGATTCTTTTATCATAATTTAATGTTTAATCCTCTTTTACAGAAGCATTCCAGATTTCATTTAACCTAGTAGATGCTCAGATAGCTGAAAGCTTAAGGTGCTGCAGTGTGCATCCTTCCAAATTTAGGGTTTGGAAATGTTGTCATATTACAGACTTTTAATTCCAAAAGAAATTACTGCTCGTACTGAATTTAAAGTAAAAATAGGTGAGGAATTTGGGGAGGAAAAAACCAATTAGAACAAAAGTCTGAAAAGCTTTCAGTTACTTGAAAATTTCATCTCCACTTTGATTTATAGGTTGTGAATTGGCTTGAAGGGCCCGGATCTGAACAGCTGAGGGCCCAGTGGGGGATCGGTGACTCTATCAGGGCTTCCCAGGCCCTGCAGCAGAAGCATGAAGAGATCGAGAGCCAGCACAGTGTGAGGCTTCTTCTTCTGCTTTGCAAGTTACAGTGCTATTTCTGATGTGCATCATGGTACTGTTAGGTTGTTTTAAAGTTTGATATGGGCCATAAAACACAGTATGTTGAATGCTTGGGGGTCAGAGAACATTTTGACCACTTAGTACATGGTTATCACTAAGGTTTTGTCTCCAATACAATTATTATATTCTTATAGAAAGACATTCCTATGAAATACTAAAACCTACTGTGATGAGGGTGATGTTACAATAACAGACCTTTGTTATTAGTCTGTGACAGAAACGTCATCCTTGATGCTCTGAGGGAGGCCCTTCCTGCTCACTGAGGGCTTCCACTGTGTTTTGGGTGTGTGGGGGGTTGTTGACCTTGACATCAACACTGCAAGCAGGGAGTGATACAGAGGACGAAGGGTGGTTTTCATTCTCTGGGCATCTGGGAGTTCATGTTTATAATGGTGAAAGAGATAATCAGACAGATCAGACTGATCACAGGTATGAATGGGGAAATGAAGTGATCTTCAGATTCTAGGTGATAATTGTTCAAGAGAATTTCAAATGCAACAACTTGGTGTATGGAGGAAATGGGTGTTTATTAAGCTCATACTATGTTGTAGTTAATTTGGCATTCCTGAGAAAGTAGTTGTTTTGTGGATCAATTCACTCACCCTCTTCTCCCTCAAGCCATATTGCCTCTCATGGTGATAAAGAGCACATGCCTGTAAACTGAGCATTATGGAGGCTGAGGTAGGAGGATTACTGCAAGGTCAAGGTCAGCCAGAACTATACAGTGAAAACTGTGTCAGAAATCCAAGGGGGGAAAAAACATAGACACACACACACACTGAATACAAAATTGGAAAAAATAAAATTGAATCTATTAATTATACTATCTTCAGTAATTGGTCTATAATAATGTTAAACTGTAGACCCAGATGAGATTTTAAGATCATGTAAACGTTATATTCCCACAATGTTTTTTTTCCCCATCACATTTTCCAGTTGAAATAGTAATTAAAAGGTGGATAGTATTAGGTAGTGTGTATTAAAACAAAAGAATAAATAATATACTTTCCCTAACACTAAATTTAAATGAGTAAGTCTTTTATCTTATGAGAGATACAGTATATGTTAATGATAGCTTATAATTATTTTCCTTTTACATAAATATTTTGTTTAGTTCCCACAGTTTTTAAAGTAATTATCCTCCAATTTGATTTAGCCATACTTACAGATGTACCCATAAGAGTTATAATCTAGTTGAAGGAATTATATATTATAAGAAAACTGTCTCATTATTTGGAATTATTTAAAGATAGTGTATATCTTTGCAATTTTTGTAATTAATACTTAGGAGAGATTTTAAAAAATGAAATCTGGGGCTGAGGATTTAGCTCAGTGGTTCTGCCACCTGCCTCGCAAGTGCAAGGTCCCAAGTTACATCCCCAGTACCAAAAAAAAGAACAAAATACGAAATCGGATAATTGAAAATGTATATGTATTTTATGCATTTCACAGGTTCCAACATGGTTCTTCCTTTTATGGTAAAAAAATAATTCAATTGAATAATTTATATTTAACTTGTAAGTCCTATTCCTGAGGTTACTATCTTTTAATTCTCTTAGTACTTTTAAAATAATGTAATGTTGTTGATTTTTTTAACATGGATTGTAATTTACTTGAAACTTATGGATTATTCTGGAACATATTACTATGTAGTTGGATTCTATAATTTTGTTTCCTGATTTGTTTTTGAAAACCATATTTGCTGAAGAACATCATAGACTTTATCCAAGAAGATTTAGATTTAACATTATTCCGAAATGTGTTATTTTTTTTGTTGAGATAGGATCTCACTATGCAGTTCAGGCTGGTCTTGAACTCACTGTATAGCCCAGGCAGGCCTTAAACTAATGGCGATTCTCTTGTCTTAGCCTCCTGAGTGCTAGGATTACTGGTGGGAGTCACCACACCTGGCTTAATAGTCCTTTTAAAGGGGTATATAATATGTGAGGCTCATAGAGACAGGATTTATATATTTTTTATTATTTTAAAAGATGCTAAGAGAAATAATTGTAGTTAGAAATTAGATTATATACATACATAAATTCATAAAAGGAATTGAAAAGTGCATTATAAATTGCACATGGGATGGATAAAATTAGTTACGTACACAGAGATTCCTGGGTTCAGTTTTCTTTTGTATTTTTATTATAAAATTTCAAAATCAGCTTAAAGAAACCAGTTATTTATGGATGGCACTTTCTTTGTGCTTAAACTTATAATGTGGAATCAGCACACAGAACTTTTGAGTCATAGAGAACCACATCCTGATGTGTAGTTAATCTGAATTTTATTTATTTAGATACTACCTTCTTTTATAGATGAAGAAACTGAGAGATAAGAAACTGAACGTTTTTTGATCAGTGAGTAGCTGAACCAAAGTTAGACAAACAGATCTCTTGACCCTCAAGTGGCATCCTTTCTAAGTCTACAAAAATTTATGGGTAGGCTTGAAAGATGGTGTCCTTTGAATTATTCTTAAACTCTTAATATTTGAGGACATATATGTTGACATCTGCATTCATACACAGGGTCCTCAGAAGAAAGATCTACCATGGATTTAATTTCTTTAAATAGTGTGTGATATTTGGGATTTGTTGTAACATTGCTAAGTGGGGACAGATCAAACGAGAAGATAAATGAAATGGGATTGGCCCTGAGTTGATAATTATTGCAGCAGGATGGTATGTAGGGTTTTGCTGTACTGGTCTTTCTACTTTTGAGTAGGCTTGATATTTTTCATTGTAGAGTAAGGTTCTCTCTCTCTCTCTCTCTCTCTCTTTCTCTCTCCCTAGAAAATTACACTTTTAACCAATAGGTGGCACTGCATTGTCACCTTGAACATAGGTTGATGGTGGCTAAATGTGTTAGCTTGTGATGTGTAAGATATGCTAATATTTCTCTAAAAGTATTTGTTTCTTTTGGTAAATAAAGATTAACAATTTAAGGCATTTATTGAAAATATTCAGATCTTATGAAACAATGACAGAATTCCAATATTGATAGAACTTGACAAAATTTAGCATACTATTTTATATTTTATATTTTATTAAACTCAGCTATTGAATTTTAGATTCCACATAAAAGCATAATGCAAAAATAAAGCCAAAACTCAAATATGTAGGATATTCAATACCAACATACAGAACAATGAATATCCTAACCTCAGTCTTTATTAAGGATTGTGAATTAGAAGTTCATTTAAAAAAAATATGACACAGACACACACACAAATGACACAACAGAAAAATACTAACGTGCATGGAAATAATTGTAGCATCTGATAATAAATTTGAAAGTATTTTAGTTCAATAACAAATATAACTATTTTTTTCTAAGTTTTATTTTATTACTTACATGTTTGCAATGCATGAAATTTTCATTCATCTCCCATTCTCCCGGTAGTCTCTTCATTCTGTTGATTGTTTCCTTTTCTGTGCAGCTTTTAATTTGTTTATTGTTATTTCTTGTGCAGTTCTGTTCAGAAAGTCCCTGCCTACACCTATGACTTCAAAAGTTTTACCTATTTTATTTTTCAGTAGGTTCATTGTTTCTGTTTTTATATATAGATCTTTGATCCATTTTGATATTGTAGTACATGGTGAGAGGTGTACGTCTACCTGAAATCTGCACATGGGTAGCCAGCTTTCCCAGCACTGGTTAAAGAGGGTATTTTTTTTTCCTCTAACATGTGCTTTGGGCTCCTTTGTTGAAGATCAGATAGTTCAGTGTATCTGGAGATGTTTCTGCATCCTCTGTTCTGTTGATTGACATGTCTGTTTATATGCTGCTGACATGTCATTTTTATCACAGCTGCTTTATAGTATAAATTGAAATCAGGCCCCAAATGGTGAAGTCCTTACCTCACTCAGTGGCACTGCCAGATGACCTAAGAGCAGGTGTTCAAATGGTGACGACAGTAGATTCAGGAGTGCACTTTCTAGTGCAGAACCTGGCAAGGCATGTCAGCTTTCCTACCAACCTTTTTTCCCTTTACCAACAAAGCATTTATAGGCAGCTAATGCCAGGAAAGGAAGGAGATTCCTGGGTGCAAAAGTGTCCCTGGCAACTGTTTGTCCCTGTATTTCTGGCAGTGGGTTCAGGTAGTCATGAGCAGTCAGTTCCTTTTTCCAAGTGCCCGCTGGGATGCCTGCCTCACAGGAGCCAGGACTTACATCCTGCCTGGCTGTGTCAAAACTGTTACCAGCCACTCGGGTTCATCCACTTAGGTTCCTTTGCTTGCTGCTGACCAAAGGAGGCCACGTATTTTGGTAAAAAGGATTTATTCACTGCTGCTTCCAAGGACATGGAGCGGGGGCCTGCTTGTCTCAAATCACCATCTCAGTTTTATCACCTGGGTGGGTATGTGGCATTTCCCAGTAACTTCCATACAGGCTACGTGCTGGTGTGTTGTGCCTAGTGCAAAGCAGCAGAACAGGTTTTTGTGGCAAATCAAGACCCCTTCTCCAGTATGTATTCCAAATGCCATGACTTCTCTCTTTCCATGTTGGCGCTGTTTCTTTCCTCCTTCAGTGGGATTCCTGTTTGGTGGTGAAGACTATGAGAACCACTTCACCAGACATGTGTCACCACCAGATCTCGTGATTGCAGTCAGTATTAGCTGTTCTCCCCTTGACATGAGCATCCAGGCTCACTACCTACCTACCACCTTAGTCCAACCCCACATCTTGGTGTTGAATTTTTATTTTGCTATAAATTAATCATTTTCCACACAATAAAGAGACAGACCAGAGAGCGGCCATCATGAATTAAATTTGGTCCGTTCCTCTGCAATTCTGCACATTCTGTGTTCCTCTATTTTCTGGGAAGAGGCATGTTAACTGGTTTTACACATTCACATATATGAAACCAGACTCCCCTGCAGTGTCCCAGAGAGGATTACTTCTTTATCACAGTTCCTGTCAGTAACATCATTATTTCCAAATTTCCAAATTTCAGTACTAAGTTCTTGAGTATTAATTTCGTGGGGATTAATTTTTTACATTGTAGATACCTGGCCAGGTTGCTAGAACCTGTATATATTTTACAACTTCAGCACACACACACACACACACACACACACACACACCCACACAGTCAGCTCCACAGTGATGGTTCTTAAAGCTTAGTGGGCAGAAGTCATCACAGGTGCTTCTTCAAATGCATAGTCCAGGGCCTCAGCCCCAGAGACTCTGTCCAGGTCAAGAGAGAAGGACCTTGGGGATTTTGATGAGCACTCCAGGTGATCTGATACTAATAGTTCTTACTGAGAGGTGCTATCATGGGACTCTTAATCTCTTCTCAGAATCATCGCTGCTGCTTCTTCAGTGAATTAAAATTTACTTAGTGCATTAGCTAATTTTCTAAGTACTGTAAATGAGACAGTAGAGTCCCTGTTTTGGGTACTATGACCACGATAATTTTAATAGATAATATTTTATACTTTAAAATAGTCATTTTAATCATTATGATAACTGCAGTTTCAAAAGTATTTTATATATGTTATTAAATTTATAAATAGCCAATAAAGTAGGTAAGGCAGGTATTATCATCAGCAGGATTTCCTGACCTCAGCACTATTGACACATTGTGCCAGATCTGTCGTTTTGAAGGTGCACACAGGAAGCAGAGAATCCTGGTTTGGGAATTCAGCAGGTGAATTGGATGGAAGTAAGGAGGGTAGGGCTTGGGCATGGTTTATATGGTGCGAGGTGGTTACAGCCTTTGGAGGTAAGGACAAAGGCTGCCAGTTGCTGAATCCTGAAACTGCTGAGGTCAGTAGGTTGTTGGACTCCACAGCATGGTAGGTGTGAGCCTATTGAAAAGGGACATTGGAGGCAGCTCCTGGACATCAGAGAATGGAATTCATTCATTGAGGTTTTTGGAGCTATACAGTAGTGTATGATGACAAGTTTTTATGGCCGTTGGAGTAGATAGCTGAGGCTTGAGGGAAGGACAGAGTGAGGAGGGAAGAAGGGAGGAAATGAAGTGAGGGAGGAAGTCAAGATCTGACTGTAGGTGTTGTGGATATCTTCATGGTGGACATCACTAAGAAGGCTGCTGCTCAGAGGAGAGCGGGAACTATAACTAAACTGCTAGCCAGGTGAGGAGATGCATTAGAGAAAGCTGGGAGGTTGTGATTCATGGCAAGTACTTCAAAGTAGATGTGGTTTTTGAGAGAAGAGGGAGAAAAAATGGTCTAGAAGTAGTAATGAGGGATGAGGCAGCTATCAAACCCACCTGTGGAGTTGTACGTTGGGTACATAAACAAAATCAGTAATCAGTTTGAGGGAATAGAGAGATAACTATACTTGCTGAGTTGGACAGGTTTCACTTAGAGCAAAAAGAAAGGAATATTGAAAGGCCAGGATGAGGATACAGAAGATTTTCTTGTTGGCAGATGTTGAGTTCCGAGAATAATAGTGAAGGATGAGGGAGTGAGTAGGGAACTTTTCATTCTTAATTTAAACAATTTTGCCTTACAGAAGTACTCATATATGTATGTTGTTTAGTTTATCTAGTAAAATTACAAAACATCTCTTAATTTGACCCTTAATTGATTATGCAACATCTTGCTTACAGGAATGGTTTGCCGTCTATGTGGAGCTTAATCAGCAGATTGCAGCACTGTTGAATGCTGGAGATGAGGAAGATCTTGTGGAGTTGAAGTCACTGCAGCAACAGCTTAGTGATGTTTGTTATCGACAGGCCAGTCAGCTGGAATTTAGGCAGAATCTCTTACAAGCAGCTCTAGAATTTCATGGTGTTGCCCAAGATGTAAGTGTCTTCTCTGATTGCTTTTCTTTTTTTCAAATGATCTGAACTATCTACACATAATTTTTGCAGGTTTGCATGCCTTCTAATTATTTTTTGGAAAAATAAAATAAAATACCCTGGGGGGTTAATGAGATAAAATTCTTTGATTTCAAAAAATCATGTCACTCTGCATGCAATTAAACTTTTTATTGTCTAACTAGAGTCCCCCAAAGTAGTAGATATATTTCATTTTGACTGTTCCACGGTATATATGCTTTTTAACGTAATGAAAGTGTCAGTAATTTTTTTTTACATTCCACTGACCTGGATGTACTTCTTGGTCTTTCTGATGCATGCATCTATGTGTCCCATCTTCCAGATAATATGTGTTCTGATGATTTGTCCCTGTCTTTTAACAGCATAGTCTTTCCCAGTGTAATTGTGATAATCTCATTAGATGAACCTCATTAATCATTAAACTCTGTAGATGCTGATTACATCAGGGTTATCTCTTTGGTGTCCCTCTGCTTTAGTTGTCTCAGCAGTTGGATGGCTTATTAGGGATGTTGTGCGTAGATGTAGCACCAGCTGATGGAGCATCGATTCAGCAAACTTTAAAACTGCTTGAAGAGAAGCTGAAAAGTGTTGGTAAGCAGATTTTAAAAATGCTGAAACATAAGAGTTCTTTTAAAAGATTTTACATAGTTAATTAAGTCATCTTATACTGAACTAATGATTACTTGTAAGAAACACAGGAAAAAAGTGTAAAAAAGGTTTTATTCTCTGAAGGGGATGTAATTTGTACTAGAAATATTTATTTTTCATTGTTGATAGGCACACCCCCTTCACTGGGCCTTTAGCTTTTTTTGTTTACTCAGCAGTATCTACAGGTGCTATGTCTTGCATATGGGAGGAACAGTTATTTGTAGTGCATGTATACACTGTAATTAGTTGTGTTCTGTGGTAAACCCTGTATGCCCCAAACTGTGTTTTATGCAATGATTTTTGTTTTTGCTATATCCTAACCTTGTGGAAAAAATAGTTGGTTTGGTTCTGTGCGCTTGTTTCTCCACACTGGGAATATTGTCAAGGTTACATAGTCTCCAAGGGAGGAACCATCTGATTGCATTAAGCTTACTGTCATTGGACAGCAAGACCTTGTACCTGTTTTGAGAATAAGAAATATGGTGAATGCCCTATGGAGGGTTGTGAAAAACAGAAAGGGGATGCCTACTAAGGGGAACAAGGGAGAGGAAACAGGAATTTAAAGCAGAGAATTAATAGAACGTGGTGAATGTGGTTGAACCAGATTAATTAATGGAAAACAAGAGAATCATTTTGAAAAAATATATTTATTATCACTTTACTTGCTTATAACCTTTATAACTTGACAGAGCAGATGTATAATACATACTTAATATGCCAAATAAAATTTATTTTAAAATAGCAGTTTTCTTGAGCCACGTGTTCTTTAAAAAAGAATTTTTGTGCACATACCTAATTTGGAATATTATAAAGATATTCTGCATATTGCTTCACATGGTATGTAAGCAGGTCTGAACTCTGCTTACAGGGTTCAACATCCCTTTACATTGATGATATATGGTATGGGTGATTTGAAATCTTGTAAATCTTACACTTCTTTGCATGTGTGGTATTGCAGATTGAACCCAGCAGGGACTTTACCACCTACCTGACACAGGGTTCCCCAACATTGACTAAATTGCCTCTAGTTCATAATCCTTTTTTGGCTCCTGAATAGCTGGCATTACAGGCATGTTTTGTTTTGTTTTATTTGATACTGGGGACTGAATCCAGGGCCTTCTCACTGAGTGACAGACATCCTCAGCCCTTTTTCTTTTTTAAATTTTTTGTTTTGATACAGGGTCTTATTAAATTGCTAAATTGTTCAGAGTGTACTTGAACTTGTGATCTTCCTATCTTAGCCTCCCAGGATGCTGGGATTACTAGCATATGTCACTGTGCCTGACTTCAGGCATGTATTTTTAAACAAAATATTTATATTGGCATTCTGAAAGTTGGAATTCATAAAAGCAGAAAGGGAAAAAATAGAAAAAACATTTTTAAAAATAGAAATTATTCTAATTTCTTCTTTCAGTTTTAAAATAGTAATTATTTATGGAGATTTCATGTTTTGAGAATTCCTTTTAGGGAGAATTTGTCAGAAGACAGCTCTACTTTGAACCCTGTTTAAAGGGGTTTATTATTGAAGTGTTAGATATTCAGAGAACTCCTTCTCAGAGTGGTTTAATATACAAAATTGTTACACCAAGAATCCAAATGCCAAATCTCCTGAGAGGATTTGAAGGAGGGACTCAGTTTAAGAGATTAAATATAGTAACTTTTGTTTTAGATGTAGGACTGCAAGGTTTGCGTGAAAAAGGTCAAGGTCTCCTGGATCAGATCTCCAATCAGGCATCCTGGGCCTATGGAAAGGATGTAACCATTGAAAATAAGGAAAATGTGGATCACATACAAGGAGTGATGGAAGATATGCAACTTAGGAAACAAAGGCAAAGTTTGACTGTTAATGTTAAATTTATCAAGATATATAATAAAATGAAAGTTGTATAATTTATATTTTGCATACAAACTGAAAGTTCTTACCTGGTATATAGTAGGCATGTAGTAGGATTGAGGTAAATAATTATTATATTGTAATTATAATAATTTTTGTGTATAATTGTACTAATAGTGGCAATGAGTACCTTTCCCCCTTTTTAATTGGCAGTAAGAATTTCAGTTATACTCAAGTACTTCATACTCCATAATCTGTGACTTTGCTCTGCTTGAAGAAAACCTTTTGGGAGAAATGTGCTTTCCATTTAATTTAATTTAGAGTTGCTGTTAAGTCTGTCCTCTGTATTGGTCTGTTTCTTTATCTCAGGTCACACATCCATTGTTCTCATGTTTGTTACGTGAGGGCTGGACAGTGGACTAATGATTATATTTAATTTCATTTGATATGGAACCAGGAATTTAAGGGATTCTTTGGAACTCAGTTTACAGCAGCAACTGCTATTCCAAAGCAGCAGTTATTCCAAAGTAAAGGATTAACTATACATGGAAGTGTACATCTATCATGGTTGTATGAAAATACCATACACTCAGAAATTTTAGTCATCGACAAAACCTCACAGAAAACTCACCCTGCAAAGTAGTCAGGAGGCAGGAATTCCCTATGCTGCTGCCTGTCCTGTGTCTGCCGGCGTCACCACAGGGAGCGGTAGTGTGCTCATTTCACGAGCCCCCCAGTGCTGTCACATACCATTCTCTGCTCGGAGCCTGCCCTTGCTTAAATGCTTAACTATGTCTTATTTAAATTATACTGAAGACGTACACAAAAGTAATAACCTATAGGAAGTGTATTCTGTTCTTCCGCTGATCTCTAGTGTCAGCTTCACTGATGTCTAGTGTTAGCTCCCTTTCCTGAAAGTAAGTCATTTGCCGGTCCAGTTTGCACCCGTACTACTTCCAGTTTCCTTTTGATCTGTCTTTTTACTCTGGTCATTTCACTCTGTCGCTCTTGTTGGTGTTATCGGTAACTTTTGATCATCATATGTAATAAAATATTTGATGATCTTAACCAAAACCCAGAGAATATTTTAGTCTTGACGTGCTACGCTCTAAATAGCAATGGAAACAACTGACATTCTCTTTCTCCATGAAACTCCCTGCCAGCCTTGCTTTTCTTCAAAACGCTCTCATAGTCCTCTTTCTGGTACTCAGTTTTTCCTTGTTTAGTTTAGTTTGTTTGTTTGTTTTTGCTCTGATGTTTTTTTCTTCTCTCTGAAGTCATTACTTCCAAAGTTTGTTTCAAACCCAAATTCTCTTTTCTGTGTTTTCTGTCTGGACGGTCTCACTGTTTTAATGACTTTTGAAAATGAATGTAGTGTAGTAGTTATGGCTCTTACCAAGACTTTTCCTGTGTTGTAAACCCGTAATTCAGGTTGCCTGCTCAGTATCTCTGGTTAGATATCTCAAATACTCCTCAAACTTTGTATGTCTAGAGTAGAATCATTTCCCCTCAAAACTTGCTGTCTTCTATTTTGAGTTCAGGTTAAAGTATATCAGCTACCAAACTTTGGAATTTATCCTAAAATTCTTTTTCTTCCTCGACTTTTATACTTAATCCAAGTTGTGTTTTCACTGAATTCTTTATTCAAGATTGTGCCTCTTCAGTTTGTTATACACTAATCTGCATACAGTATAAAGACTGTATAAAACCTCCTCCAGTGACTTCCTATTTTGTTCAGATGAGGTTCTGTCTCCTTGAAATAGCGTAACAGACTATTCATCATCCAATCCTTATTTTCTATAACTTGCCCACAAAATCACACACTTGTCTTCAGTTTCTTTGAAGGCTGCGTGTTGTTTCATGTATCCATGTCTAAGAGTACTTGTTTTCCTCAAGTTGTGTGTTAATGGATACCTACTTTTTTTTTTTGAGACTAAATGATACCCCTCCCAGGAATCTTTTTAGGATTTCTAATACAAGTTAATCACTTGCTTCTTTCTATTCCCATAAAAATTTTTGTATAGCTGCATAATAGCATTTATCACATTGTCTGTTTCAAAACCATCTCAAAATGGAGTAACTCAGTAGTAGAAACTGTCGTACTATCTCAGTACTTGACACACAATATGTTGAACATATATCATTTTATCATTGAGGGTGCCTTATGTTATTTTTTAGTTTCAGATTTTAAAAATAACTATTATCACTTACTTTCAGTCTCTTATGACTGACTTTAAGCAAGTTGCATCTTAACATTAGACTCTGACTTTTATTAAGAGAATCTTTTTAAAAAGTAGCCATGTGATAATCACTTCTGTATTGTTATTAAGTTTTCTTGAAGGACATCAACTGCAGTAGTAGAAGCCCAGTGCCTCTTGGGTAACTTGTTAGTGATATTTGGCTCTGCCCATTCCTACCTACAGTGCATGGAGATGGGTGGGAATGAAGGAGGTTGGTCAAAACTGAGGTCAAAGGCTGCTGCATATTATTGGGGCAGATGGTATATTTAGAGATTTTAAAACGCTCTAAATTATGTTTCTTTCCACCAAAGATCAATGAAAATTTTCCCTTAAGACTGTAGATACAGGTTTTTTAAAATTCAGAATTATATAGTATTCTGAATAATACAATTTAGTGAAAAGTGTTAATTTAAAACAATTTCATATCTTTTAAGCTAGTGTTTGAGAAACTACATTTTTATCTTTGAATCTTGTTTGATGTGGATTGGAAATAGAGATTTCTTTGAGTTTTAGTGTGCTGTTGCATTTATGCTTTGCTTCAATATTTTGCAGAATCCATGCTATCCTCAAGAGGGTTTGTCATTCAGTATAATTCAGGTATTTTGAGGTTTTGGTGTAACATAGATATAGATTAGATGTCCTTAAAATTCTTACAAGTCAATGCAAAATAGTTGCAATCTTTATAGTGTAGGACTAAGTACTTTAGTATACTGTAAAGCACCAGATCATGTTATACAAGTTAGCAAAACAGAAATGATGAACTAAATTTATGTTTGGGTTCCTTAGATGTGAAGACATGGTAGATGTGCGAAGGTTAAAGATGCTTCAGATGGTGCAGCTATTTAAATGTGAAGAGGACGCTGCCCAGGTAAGGACCAGTCAGCCACCTCATATGGATAGTTATTCTTAGATTTCATCTCACGAACAAAAGCATACTACATATAGTCCTAAGAAAATAAATTCATTAAATCAGATTCTCGTTATCCTGTTGAAGAATAAAGTTTAATATTCCCAGTTAATTTATGAACCTCATTTGACTTCTCAGTGAAATCCTCTACTGGGTAGAGATTGGGAGTAATTAGTAGTTATTACTATTCATGAAGTTACTAGCTTTGTCTCAGAATAGAGGATAATAATGCACATTGCTTTCTACCCACAAGATAATTATCAACACCAGGTAAGCAGTTTGATGTCTTTGTGTAGCTAACATCAGAACATCGTTTTACCTTGATGTAGAGGGAATTTATGATTTCACATAATAACATGAAAAAAATTGAGAAGTAGAAAAGATTAATTCACAGAATATTACAGTGAATGAAATAGCTATTAAGAATTTAGGTAGTTAATAGATTCATTGATCATATGATAGAAATCTTTGTATGAAGATAATATTTGGCATAATAAGAGTTGTCAATTCAGCTTCACCATTATGTGTTTTCATTCAGGCTGTAGAATGGCTAAGTGAACTTCTGGATGCTCTCCTTAAGACCCACACCAGACTGGGAGATGATGCCCAGGAAACGAAAGTTTTACTGGAAAAGCATCGAAAATTTGTCGATGTTGCACAGGTGCAGAACTGGTTATCTTCCTTTTCTACAGGCTCAGTGTTTGAGTAGCTTTCTGCATGCTTGTACTATATCGTAATCCTGCAAGTTGAAGAAGCTTAGTTCTGTTATTCCAAGGAAATCACCGAGAATATGCCAGCTCTTACATCAAAACTAGCCTGCATAAATGTGAGAGGGTTTTGTCTCCAATACTGGCTCTGTGTACTTCCTCCATTTATGTTAGATATCATGTTTTCTTTAGGCAATCCAACTAGTCATTCACAGAAGTTAATTTGCAATATGTTAATAACAGTAAATTAGAAACCTCATTTTCTCCATCTCACTAATGTTAGCATAATAACACAGAATTGTTTTGTGATGAGCAGTATCTCAGTGTATTCTTCCTAGTTAGTGAGTTCACACTGTAAGAGTTGTAGTTTCTTATATGGAATATAAAGTAGCTAATTTCATGTACTTGTTTTGGTCATTTAGCGAACAAGCTTTCTTTCTGGCCAGTAGTACTTAGCACTCTGAGATGGAGAAAGCAAAGTAAGAAGTGGAGGCTTAAAAAAATTTATGAACTAACTAAACATATTGTTTCCCCTCTATTATTTATGCATTATTTATAGTAAGTGCCACTGGTTCATTGAGCATTGAATTCTGATAGTGTCACTCCTCTAACCCCACCCCCCTTCGGAGTTAATCACAATTTCATGTTTACCTTTTCTGTTCTAGAGTACTTATGACTATGGTAGACAGTTGCTGCAGGCCACAGTTGTGTTGTGCCAGTCTTTGCGCTGCACCTCCAGGTCCTCTGGGGATACGCTTCCTCGCCTAAACAGAGTGTGGAAACAGTTTACAATAGCATCTGAAGAAAGGGTGCATAGGTTGGAAATGGCTGTTGCATTTCACTCAAATGCCGAAAAGGTTTGCTTTTGTTTTATTTTTGTTTCTGTTTTAGAAAGTCTCAGTGATACTTACTTCACCTGTGTTTAAAGTCTAGTAGTGTAATTATATGATCGATGTATTTGTTAAAGTGTTATGTGAGTTCCATTGTTAACATTTTTAAGGATGCATTCAGTGGTCCTCACTTAGACCTCCTTCTCTCCTTTGTCAGCCTGATGGCTAAGGCTCTCTCTGTTCCTGGCATCTCATGATGCCAGGAGAGGAGCTGATTTGGCAGCTTGTACTGATTATCACCAAGTCTAAAAGCTCACTTTACAATTTAAATTAGAGTGTCCAACTAAAGTAATGAGAGATCCTTTTTTAAACTGTGTTACGATACGTGCTGGAATTTATTATCCAATGAGTTAAAGTAATTAGTCCCAGAGACCGATCATAAAATTTTAAGTGTTATTTGGGCAAAATTTTAATGGAACCCTTTTCCTACACTTCACAGTGAAAATGTGTAGCACCCAGATGGTTTATATTTTCACTCTGAAAAAGAGGTTGGTCTTCTAGTTTACTTTATATTGATATCCTTGAATGGCTGTCTATGGGGGATATGAAATATACTTCAAGTTACAGAAAACTTAAAGGAATCTTAGGAATTAAGTAGTTTATGTCTGTATTGTGGAATACAGCTATTGGGAAGTGCCTGTAGTTAATTCTTTTACCTGGTTTCTGATCTCTGCAGATCCATGTTTGATTTAAATGGCTCTAAAGATGGTGAAAGTATACAAAGTGGCTTGGGTTGTTTATTATTATTTTTATTGCTAAAATATTTATTAATATAAAAGTCTAGCATAGAAAAGTTTATAAACCTTAAGTATATTGTTTGGTGAACTATCACAAAGTAAACATGCATGTGGTAACCAGTGTACTGTTCAAAGAGAACATTACTGGTAACTTTGGATCTCCCCCTACACTCTGTTGCTCACAATATTTGTCCCTACAGCCCCATCAAAGGGTGAGCATTGACCTAATTTCTCACGCCACTGATAACTTTTTAGGGTATTACTCTTTGGCGGGGGGGGGGGACGGGGACTAGGGATTGAACTCAGGACTTTGCACTTGTGGGGCAGGTGGCAGAACCACTGATCTAAATCCTCAGCCTAGAATATTACTTTAAACATATACCTAGAAAGACATCTTAAAATGTAGAATTCTTTAGAGATTATTTAAGAATAAACACTGTTTTTACAGTACTAGGGATTGAACCCTGGGCTACATCCCTGGCCTTTAAAATTTTTTTTTTGAGACAAAATCTTGCTAAGTGGCTTAGTTCTGTGGCTCTGCTTGAATTTGTGCTCCTCATATCTTAGCCTCCCAGAATGCTAGGATTACAGGCATGTGCTACCATACCCAACTTGGTTAAGAACTTTTTAGTGGAAAATTAATGTTCCCATTTTTTTCTGTTACCTAGCTTTTTCCTTTCTAATAAAAAACTTTATTTAAGATCATTTCATTGTAAAGACGTACTTGAAGCCTTCTGTTATCAGATATTATTTTCCTTTTGACTATTCTGTTTTATAGCGGTAAGCATAAATATAACCATAACTATAAGCAAGTTATATAGTATAATAATTAGGAGAGCTCTAAATTGGAGTACTAGTGAATAAATATGATTGGAATAAGTAAAACATAATGCATAAAGGTGCCAAAATAAATACTTGTTTTCCTTCTCCCCTAAATTGTGCAATTCTTTCTTACTTTTAAATAGTAAGAGGAAATAAAATGGGAGACCATGTATGAATTATAACCATTTAAGTCAGCATGTATTCCTGTCATGTAAAGGTACAAGATCCCAATGATGAATGTAACTGTACTGTATATCTAAAATGTACCAATAAACTCAATGAGAAAAAAAAGAAAAAGTCAGCATGTATTATTAAATATAAAATGCCTACCTAGATCTTTACATCAGTTACATGTTTGTATTTTGTATGTTGTTTTTAATTTATATTTTGATTTTTGAAGCCTTGGAGTTCCTTATGGACAGAGTCTGTGGGTCATTCACTCCCCAAAGTGCTAAATAAACACACCTTACAGTGAAGTGTTTAATAGACGATTTCCTAATGAGTGAGAGAATACTTCTTAAGCACAGGTTGAACTTACTTTCCAAATAATAGTTGATTATTTATTTTTTTCCTTGAAATCACCATAGAGCTCTTTATACTCTGATTGTATATTATGAATAAAGATTAGTGTATTTCATTTTGTTATTAGAATTTCTTGAGCCAACTTTATGCCATAGATTGATTTTACACAATAGTGCATATAAGTGCTAAGAATAAAACAAAGCACCTTTTCAGTTTACTGAATTTGCATGAACTTGCTTCCCGTTCTCTTTCTTGACTGACGTCATCCTTTTGTTGCAGATTTTGCAAGACTGTCCAGAAGAGCCTGAAGCTATTAACGATGAGGAGCAATTTGATGAAATTGAAGCAGTTGGGAAATCCCTTTTGGATAGGTTAACTGTTCCTGTAGTTTATCCGGATGGGTATGGTGCATGCTATTATGTATTTTTTTTTTCTTTTTTGTAATTGGTGAGCTCTTAAAGTGAAATGTTAGGGAAAAAGCCCGGTAAATCAAGTTTGGCCCATATCTTCAAATAGTTTTAACTGAAAAATTCACACTCAGTTGTTGCAGCAGCGGTAGTTGGTGCCTGCTTACATCAGATGTGTTGCCTGACAGCTTCTATAGAACGATGATCATTAACTAGATTGCGACTTTGGGGTTCATTCAGGAAAGGGGTGGCATGGAAAGTGTCTGATGTTTAGTGAACTCAGGATGTTTGCCAAACACCAAGTGGCATTGTGTCTATTAATTTTTGGGAGATGGTTTAAGGGGACTTGAACTCAGGCCTCATGCATGCGTGCTGTGGAGCCACGTGCATTGTGAGGAAGCATCTAGGCAAGAGCTTTCCCACTGAGCTCCAGACTTTTAAAATTTTTATTTTGAGACAAGGTCTTGCTAAGTTGCCCACCCTGACCTCAAATTTCATATCTTCCTTCCTCAGCGTACTATGAGGTAGCTAGATTGCAGGTGTGTGTACTTCTGTATTAGTTGCTTTCCTGTCACTGGGACAAAATTGACACATGCACCTTACAGTAGGACAGGTTTGTTTGGGTTCAAGTCTCAGTCCATGTGTAGTTAGTTGGTTTCTAGACAGAAAAAGCAAAGGTATGATGATGGAAGGGCGTGGCAGAGGAAAGCTGCTTGCCTGGTGGCAGCCAGTAAATGGGGAGGAGCCAAGGACAGAATATACTCTTCCAGGTCACAGCCCCAGTGACCTCCCTCCTCTGCCAGCCCCTACCTCCCAGCAGCACATTCAGCTGTAAACTCTTAGTGGATTCATTCACGGATGAGTATAGCAACTCAATGGTCCAGTCACCTTCTAAGCCCCACCTCTGAACCTGAGACTTTTGTGGGACACATTAGGCCCAAACCATACAGGTTGGTATCCTCCTGCCTCAGCCCCTTAAGTAGCTGGCATTACAGGTGTGTGCTACCATCCCAAGCTATCCTTCATTTCTTTTGACCAAATAGTATCAGTATTCTTATTTATGTTTTAGAAATGAAGAAACTAAGGCTCAGAAAGATTAAGGAAGGGGATCATAACTTAACAACTTCTCTATGTTAGAGTTAGGCGTGATCTCAGGTCTGTCTGTCTCCAAGTCTTGTACCACATGTGGGAGGTAGGTCACACAGATACAAGACATATGTAGTGAACATGCGAGCATCCCCTTTTCATTTTTAGGATTGTTATTTTTTCTATTCCATATTTGTATTAAAATATATATGTGTGTATTTTAGGTATTTTGTGACACTGAATATATCTTAAATTGTCTTGAGTTCCTAATTATTGATACAAAACAATCTGTTTATCCTATGTAGAGCTTGACAAGTTCTTCACATTTACATTTTATACATTCTCTTGGTAAAATAAAAGGAATTGATCATCTCTCTGCATTCAGTGCTTGAAGACTCAGATTCAGACCTTGAGTTTTCTACTGTGTGACCTTGGTTGAGTCATTTAACTTTCTAATCTTTAGGTTTTGTTTTTGTTTTTTAGTGTCTCTGGGGATGGGACTCGGGGCCTCACATATGCTAGTTATGTACTTTGTCACTGAGCTACCTTCTCAGCCCCAAAATGAAGAGGATACATCAGAAATTTCCAAAAACTATTCCAGCTCTAATTTTGTGACTCAAAATAAAGTATTTTACAAGTAAAAAAAAAAAACTGACTTTCATTTATTAATATGTCAAATTAAGCCGGGTGTGTGGCACATACCTGTAATTCCAGCACTTGGGAGGCTGAGGCAGGAGGATCTCTGTGAGTTTGAGACCAGCCTAGGCTACGTACATAGTGAGTTCCAGGGCAGTCTCAGCTACATAGTGAGACCCTGTCTCAAAAAAAAAAAAAAAAAAAGTCAACATCAAAAAGGATATTTTTCTTGCCATCTGTAGTCAACATTTGGTATAACCACCTTTAAACAAAATACATGTACAAAATAAATGTTTGTGCATGCTTGTGGACGGAGAATTGAAAGGCCTAAATATCACAAATATGCACAATATGGCTTTTGTACCACTAACACATTTTTCTCTTTGTCACAGAACTTATTTTATACCATTTTAAACAGTATTTTTCCTGTGGAATTACTACTCAAACAGTATAGTCTGAATTTCTAAACACAGACCACATCACAAAGATAGTTTTTTTTTTCTCATTGAGTTTATTGGTACATTTTAGGTATACAGTACAGTTACATTCATCATTGGGATCCTGTACCTTTACATGACAGGTCTTGGTTCTCATTTTTTTCCCCTTGTCCCTGCCCTCCCTACACCCCCTCCTCCTTTCTCTATTTACAAACACTTTTCCATTTTTCATTTTCCCATGTTTTTTTTTTCTTTTCCCTTACTACCTTTCCCCTACCCTTCCCACTTCCAAATATACTTTTTAATGATAATATTTACTTGCAGTTGCATACCCTGCAGTTAAATGAATTTGTATTAATCTGGACTTTTTTTTTGTCTTTTGATTTTAGAACCGAACAATATTTTGGGAGTCCAAGTGACATGGCTTCTACTGCAGAGCACATCAGAGACAGGATGAAACTAGTTAGTCTCAAAAGGCAGCAGCTGAGACATCCTGAAATGGTGCCCACAGAGAGCTAATAGCTACCAGCTTCCCACAGACCTGCAGCTCATCCTCCTGCACGTCGTCGGCCCACTGCAGCATTCGCCACAGTACAGTAGGATGCATCTCACAGCAGGATAAGCCTCATTTCTTCCCACACCACACTTCTCTCTATGTGCTAACACCTCACAGCTACCAAGGCATAATTATTTAACATGCTTTGAGACCACAAACTCCAGGTATCTTAAAAGAAGGAACTGTAAACATTGCACTGAAAACTTGCTTTCAAGCTTTACCTGACCTGTCAGTTTGTAGATGAACAACTGATAATAAGCTTTGAATGGTGCTAATAAGAGTTTAGAAATTCTCTCTTTTAGAAAAAATGGCTGCCCTTCCTTCCCCGGTGATGTAGTAAATTTAGTTATAACTAAACTGTTACTAGTAGACAGTGGCATTCTCAAAATTTTAATTTGTAATTCTTCAGAATTGATTATTTTTATTGTGTTAATATTGAGAAAATCCTTCAGATCTTTGATATATTACATTCATTAAAAGACATTTTCCTATTTGTATTGATAATGTATTAAAACTTGTTTGTGCTTAATAAAAATCTTCTTTAAACATCTTAATTTGGTAGTTATATCCTATCTTCAAACATGAGTGCCTTATTAAAAAGGGCATTCTTAAGATTGTGGGGATGATTTAATAATCATTTTTTCATGGTGGTTGCATGTGTCTTAGCCAGGAAATTCATATGTAAGCATGTATATATAATAAGCATGTTTTATCATGAAAAGTAATTGTGAAAAACAACTTAGATTTTTAAGGACATCTTAATAACAACACTGTTTCTAATTTTGCTCTCCTCCAGCTTCAAAAATACTGTCCAAATTATTAACTACCCTGAAGATATTGTATCTTTAGGGGAGGAGGGTTAAGGAAGAAGGCATTCACAATTTACTTCAGTGTAATTAATCTTTTATATCAGAATAATATTTCTGGAACTAAAACAGCAATTGTTAATACAATTAATTTCTCATGACAGACTAGAGGCAAAATCAATTCTGAAATCTAATCACAGCATTGTATAACTCCTTTAGAAATAAAATTTATCATAAAATGCTAGTCCTTTTGTTTGTAGTTTCAATTGTAAAATGCATAAAATTTAATTTTTATGTTAATTTTTATTTTAGATTATGTTAAAGATTTAAAAAAATTTCAGGCTTTCAGTTAGTATAAAACTAGGCCAAGAATTGCATCCTGGTTCCTTTGTATGGTCTACAGACTAGCTCATGTAACCTCTGATGCAAAAGCCTCCCTGAGTCTGCTGGCTTCTCTGGCCTCTTCACTGCCAGACTTCTTGGAGAAGTCCCCATCTGTTGTCCCCACATCGTCAGCACCCCTACTCAGCACCTGGCAGACCGGTTTTGCACAGCACTGTAACAGCACTATTCTTTGGAAAGTCAGCAGTGGTCTTCCAGTTCGCAAATTCAGTGTTTTTCCTTAGGCTGCGTTCCTTACTCTTCAGTCTTTTTTGTAACATTTGAACTTTGAGCAACCTTGCCTAGACATTGTCTTCTCCCTCAGAGATGCTATCCTGTGTCTATAACTGTGAGTATAGGTTTGTCTTAGTTAAAAGATGTCTTCTAAACATGTACTTTCTCAGAGTCTGCCCTCAAAGTTCTGTGGCTCTTTCTAAGTATCTCATCCTTAGGCCTTCTCTTTCATCCCAGTGTCCTCCGTTACAGTGTGGTTCAAAGTGCCAGACAACACTTTCAACTGCCTACTTTACATTTATTTCATCCTACAGGGGGATTTGTCATACATGCCACCTTTCTTCTCTTCGAATAATTTTGTTTAATGGTGCAACCTTTTTTCCTAGTCAAACATGCCAGGATCTGGGGCAAAATTAAGCTGTTCCCTCTTATGCTGCCACTGCTTCCAAGAGCATCCAGGAAGTTCTTTCTATACTTGATAATACTCTTGGCCTTTTAGGACTTTATTCCTATGAGTAGGAACTTTTGTGCTGCTTCTTTTCAGTCTTCATGATGGTGCTAACCATGTTCTACAGTGCTTATGTCTCCTCCTGCTATACTCCAAGCTCTTTTGAGGGAATGGTATTATCCTACTTGTTCTAGTTTCAGGCTTCTGCTCATAGGCACTCAGTTCTTCTACCCTGGATTCTATTGTAAGTACTTGGAATACTTGTATTTTGGAACTCTTGTATTACAGTCTGAAGTGTGTTTTAGACATATCTATTTCCTAAAATTAGGACTGATTTATGAATGAATCTCCATATAAGAAAGTCACTTGGCATTTTACTTGCATAGGTAGTTACTTAGATATTTAGTTATTATATTCTATGTATATTTCTTCTACTGAATGTCAGAGTCATTAGAATGTTTTTATTATGACTTTGCTAAAAGAGGGACATCTTACCATCAACTCATGGACTTGTAATTGCTAAATAAATAAATTTTTATGTATCTTAAGTGCTTCTGTCCACAAAAAGAGTAGTATAAGGCATCATCTGGAAGTATTACTTGTAATTTCAGTATTTTACATGAAAATAGATATGCTTTTAGAAAAATAACATTGTTCTTCATATTGAAATTTTGCTGCAACTTTCTGTAAGCATATCTGTATATACAGGTAGAGTTATAAATGAAAACCCAGCAGTGCCCTATGATTGGATTAATTTTTTTTGTTTGGTTTGAGAGACCCCCTTTTTTTTGGCCTTTTTACTGCATATTTGCTTCTGTGTAAACTCAGTATATAATGCAGTTTGACATCTGTTCTTCATACGTGTCTAACTCAGTGAAGTTAGGATGTACAGATGATAACTTCATTTTGGCTTTATTTCTAGTCCTCATTGTTGGTGACCTTACTCTGCTAGGGTGATTCACTGGAAATATTGATGAAATAAATGGCTAAGCCTGCCAGCTGGGAAATTGATGACACATCTAGGTTTCTTTGCTAGATAGAAAATTGGATACTTCTTTTACTTTATAGGGAGTTACGTTGGCTACTGAGCTTCTAAATGTTACCTAGTCTTAATGTGTTTGTTGCTTCATTGCCTTATCAGCTGCAGTATGCTGTTTAGTTTATTGTTACTAGTGTCATACTCCTTAATATGAACATAACAAGTTACTTTTCTGATAGTGCTAAGCAAACTGTGTTCTCTGATCTAAACCCTTTGTAGCCAAAGATATGATTGTGAGGTTGGGTGAAAATGTGCAGTGTACATTTGAAAAAACAATTCAAGAGCTCTCTACTTCACTCTAAATTACTTGCCAGTCCTTACATACTTCTCCTGTCCTCATATCGTACCTAAAGTACACAGGGCTATAGTAAAATACCATGGCTACTAAAAACAAAATATACTATGACTGCTAAAGTCTCCTATATCACATGTTGAACCCATAGAGATAATACAAGCAGAGAAGTACAGATTTAACATTTGGCTTCACTACGTGCTTCAAGAAAGTCTAGGTTTTCCTAAGAAGTATAACTAGTGGCAAAAATTGTAGTGGAATGGTCATAAAAACTAAAATAACTGTAATGAATATAGTAGTTTGGAATTTGAATACAGTACTTGACTTCAAAATATGTTTTTACCGATTACTGGGACTCTAGATACAAAAAAAAGATCAATGAATTCCCCTGAGACATAAAATAGTGAACTCACCAAGCAATTAAAATAATTAAATCATTTATTAAAAAAGTATACAAAATGGACAGTATCATTGCTATAATTATCTTTTTAGAGTAAAAATACCAGGTCTTCTTTGATCTTGCTGTTTCTCAGAAGAATGGAATGGTGGGGAAATGGCAAACTGTGAATGTTGACCACTGCTTTAGCCTGATCCTTCACTCACCCCCATTTCACTAGTATAAAGCAAAACGTACATTCACAGTTATATATCTGAACTCCTATAAGCAGAGTTGGTGAGTTTATCAGTAGTACATAATAAGGCTTTGAAAATGACAAATTTGCTGTTTTATTGGAAGATGATAGACCAGTAATACGAAGACTGATGGATATGGTCTGTTTTGAGAGTGTCAGAGTATGACACAACTCTCAATTTAAAACACACATAAAAGAAAATCATAGTTGGAGGGTGTATTAATAAGCCACCACTAACATGTAGAAACAAGAAAAATCTAAGGCTGTTAGGATATTTAGAAAGTAATCCAGTAACGAGGTGAAAAATTTTGCAGTCCACCATTTGTGCTGGGTATGGTTAGAGAAGAGACAGCTTGACAAACTCAGGCAGGGATGATGAACAGAAAAACCTAGTCCCATGTTAGACTCAGAACTGAGGATATTCCACAGTTAGCATGAATACAGGGGAGGCCTTTAGACTGAAAAAGGTCTGTGGATAAAATGCTGAATATGAGTCACCAATACAGCAGTAGGTTAAAGCAACTTGAAAGCTTGAAAGTAAACACTAGTCCTTCTACTTCAAGAAAAAGCAGAACCTGTACTAGGACATAAAGAACTTGGACATGAAAAGGAAGCCAGGCCTGTAGCTAAATATATTGAAAGCCAGTGAGTTTTTCAAGAATCAGGATTATTTTTGTGAGCTCTTTATGAGGCAATATGCAACATGTAATTCCTATATGTCATGATATAGGCATTCTTACCATGCAACTAAAAATAACCACTAACTGCCAGTGATTGAGAGGTGGTGTGAGAGGTCTTAGTCAGGTGTGTGGATAACTATTTCTGACAAAAGGGCTTCTGAACTTTGAAGTAGCTTCCTACTAAACTTCAAGGGGGCTTCTCAGAAGTATTTACAAGTCGAATGCCACATCTGCAGGTGTCCAAATGCAGCTCTTTTTAGAAACAGGATGATTGAGCTGCCTCCCCACTGAGAATACCATATGTGATCAAGCCTCATGTCTTTTATGGTTACCATTCTTTTTTAGTCTAGAAGTTAAGGTGAGATCACTTCCTATACTTAACTTTTCTTTAATGTTTCTTTGTCTGAAGTCTGGTGTTCCACATGACCAACGAATTTGCTCAGATTATGCAATCGGAATAGGTGGGGCTTCTTCCTCAGATGTAAGAGGATCAGGAGAGCACTTTGGCAGTCTTGAACCAGGGTGGATTTGAGGTGATTGCTTACTTTATGTAATTTAGACCTATGGCATGTGTGCCAACGTGGGCTGTAAAAGCTCTAAAAAGCTCTAAAAGATTCACCATCACTGCTCTAGGCGATCCTTTCACAAGCTCTGTAGAGAAACTTAAGTTTCTAAATCGACACTTGGAAGAATTTGATAATTACACTTGGAACAAATGAAGTTCCCAGCATTTTGGGTAATGTTCTATTATGGGAATTGGGAATGCCTGTTTCCCAATGTTTCATTATAAATTTTTTCAAACATATAAAAAGTTAAAATAATTTTGTAATATACTACCTAGAATCTAGTTATTACACATCCATCAGTTTGTCAATCCAGATTTTTTTAATTCATTTAAATTGCAGGCGTTTATACTTCCTACTAAGTACTTCATCACATGTATCATTAACTAGAGTTTAATATTTGCTTGCGGGGCCGGGGATTTAGCTCAGCGGTTCGGTGGCCTGCCTTGCCAAGCGCAAAGACCCCAGTTCAATCCCCGGTACCAAAAAAAATATTTATATATATATATATATATTTGCTTGCTTCCACTTTTCTTTTGATGTAAAATTACCATACAGTGAAATACATAAGACTTTGTGTTGCAGTGACTCTTTTGGCAGATGCATTCAATGCTGCCAAGATAGAAAACAGCACCCTAGAGAGTTCTCATGTGGCCCTTTCCAGTCTTTATCTTCTCCTGCTTAACCTCCAAGGGTAACCACTGTTCTTAGCTCTACCATAAGTTAGGGTTTCTGTTCTTCAGCATACTGTAAATAAAATCACATCATATACTCTTCTGTAATGCCTCTTTGCCATCATGATTGGGAGATTTAGCCACGTAGCCGGATGTATATTATTAGTTCATTCCTACTTATGACTGACTAGTGTTGTATTCATTGTATATTGTAGTTTGTTTACTCAGTTTCCTATTGGCTACCTGGACTGTTTCCAGGATTGGCAATTATAAATAAAGCTGCTGTGATCATTCTTACATAGATCTCTATGAACATAGGTGTTTATTTTCTCTTGGATAAATAGGTTTCGAATTGCTGGATTGATTATAGGATAGTTTTGAAAGAAAATGTTTCTTTTTTCAATGCAGTTGTACCGTGCCCTGAATTTTATATTTTGAATGTGTCAGGAAGGTGTAAACTATTTTTTGATCCATATTGAAATATTAGGAAAAGTATGTTTGGGGTAGAAGTGGCATCATTCATGGTTAACAGTAGGTATAATTTGAGGGAAGCAAAGACTTGTCTGCCAGAAACATCTTCTCAGAAGTTTTCTATGCTTGAAATTTTAGCTTTAGTTTTTCTCCTTAAGATTAAGCCCCGAGGATGGTGATATATTAGCTAGAAGAAGCAGCACTGGTTTGTTCATATTACTAACTTTTGCCACCTGTTTTCAGTAAGTAAAATAAGACTCTCATCATTGAATAAAAAATACTATTTGTTCATGGAGTTGGGGGATAATTTTAAAACATGTACCACTCCCAGGTACAGCAGTGTGACAGCCATCTGTACAGGTATGTCCCCCAAATGGCTGTCAGCAAAGCAGAAAACAGGGTGGGAAGAATTCTACCTCACAGTTTTGCATAGGGGATAGCTATGCTTTTGCAGGACATTTAAGCCTTTAAAAATAATATTTCCAATGTTGTTCTTTTCTTCAGTACAGTACTGCACTCTGATAACTTTCTTTTTCACTGTGTTTTATCCTTGCCAGTTCTATTACATAAAGCATCCACTAAATTAGTCTGTAAGATTAGAATCATATGTCTGTTTCCAGTGCCCATATGTAGATATATTTGTGTAGGATTTATCCAGTCTTTCCTATTAGATTTTTAAGGGCTGGGAAATTTGGCTTATACTGTAAATCCTTATATGCTCCATACATTGTAAATATGCAATAAAAACATTTAAAACTATAATGGCATTTTTGTTATGTATTTTTTTGCTATATTGTCACTTTGGACAATAAGTTTGATTTCTGTTAATAAAGATTGTTCATAAAATCTAGGGAGAATTAAGTTATATTTCCTCTATAACATAATCTGATGAATTCTGCATCTTTAAATTAAATTATTTTTGTAAAATAATTCTTTTAACATACCTTCTGAAATCTCTGACTAAAACAAAAGTGTAACTTCTTTATTTTGAAATAATTGTAATCTTAGAAAATAGAGGCTTTTCCTTCCATCTCCAGCATACCCAAATCCATCCTTCTTTAGGTTTGGCACAGAAATTCAGTACTTTCTGTAGATCTTGCATTGTCAAAAATGGTTTATTTTCACAGAAAGTAATGTTTAAATTTCCTCTGTCCCTACCAGGGAGTCACCTGGTTTTGGTTTTGGTTTTCTGGTACGAGAGGGGGTTGAACTCAGAATCTCCCACATGTTAGGCAAGAGATCTATTACTGAGGTACACATCCAGCCTTGAAGATTATTTTGTTTTTGTTTTTATTTTTCAATGCTGGTGATTAAACTTAGGTCCTGGTGCATACCAGGTAAGCACTGTACCACTGAGGTACATCTCCATTCCAGGAAATCGTTTTTAAGACAAAAGTATGTTTTAAACACACATAGAAAACATACTGGCCGTATTTAAGAGTTAGCCGTATTTAAAATAACAAAATCATCATGTTCTATAAATAATAGGAGCTCCAGAGTAGATACCAGGAAATTTGTTGCTGGAGTTTGGAAACTGGCAAGTGAAATACATTTGAGTGAAATACAAGCAAGCTAAAGAAAACATTCATATTAACATTTTCTTTTATAAGTTAGTTGCAGTATCCACCACACCTAGATTTTCCTTTAGGCACTTAATATATGAAGTATAATTCAACATATTTGGATATTTAAATTTTTAAATATTATAGTAAAAGACACTGTCATCAATTCATCTCAAACACTCCCTATCTCCCAGCACACTCACCCCACCGTTCTTGCCACTTCCTGAAGCAGCTCTGGAAGTGCTCTTGAGTGTGCGTCTGCTGTAGGACTCGTAGCTAACTCATTGTCCTGAGTCAACTCAAAATCTTGACCTTTCAAAGTCATTGTGACTTTTCAGAAGAGCCAGAAGTCTCATTTTGCAGGTCTGGTGAATAAATGGATGTTTTAATACTATACTGTTTTTACAGTCTTGCCTTTCCATTGGGTGGCATTTAGCAGCAGCACATGCTATATTTTTATCACATCGCAAAGGCATGAAAGGGCCCTTACAGAACTGCTTCAGAAAGTGGCAGATATGATGAGATAAATGTGTTCAAAGCAAGGGCAAGTATTTTGATAGAGTTCAAAGTCAGTGTGTCTTTCACTGTAAAAAAAAAAAAAAACTGCAATTCAAACAGCATCTTTTTATTAAAAAAAAATCATTCCTTGTATTCACAATCTTACTTCAAACCTCTGAAGAGAAGTGATCTTGTGAGTAATCTTATTGTTGGCCAAAATAAAGATGGGGAGAAAATGAGAATGAGTCAATAGCAACCTTTGACATTTTTGTTTTTCTAATCTGTTTTACTCTTGTATTTGAAATATTCTCAGAATAGCTGAATGTGGTGGTGCATGCCTGTAATCTCAGCACTTGAGAGGCTGAAGCAGGAGGATTTCTGCAAGTTGGAGGCCAGCCTGGGCTAGTGAGTTCAAGGTCAGCCTGAACTACAAAGGGAGACCCTGCCTTCAAAGGAATGTTCTCAGAGTAAGACTAATTGTCTTCTCATTGTCTATGCATATGAACTGTTGTATTTATGAGGAAGTCCTGTACTTATAAGAGAACCAGGCTTTCCTAGAATCTGTTAGGGATTGCACTATCCCATCAAAAAGACAATTTTTAAAATAAGGTGGGCTCTCTTCCTCAGATACATTATGGATTAAGAAAGTTTCTGTAGGATGACACAGCTGGTACTATTAATAGTATTGTAATAATGGGTGGTATATGTTGCAAATTGTGAGTGGATTTTTAGAATTTATTCCATTACTGCTTTGTTCTAAGAAAATGCTTAGAGCTCAAAGACTACGGATATCTCTGTACTTAGGACATGAACACAGATTAAGTTTCAAAGAAAACTGTACATTGTACACAGAGCTAGAGCTTATGTTTTAGATCAGTGATTTTCAAACTTCAGTGTGCCTGTGAATCAACGAGATCTTGCTAAAATGCAGATTTTGATTCAGTAAGTCTTAAGTCAGAATTGAGGGTCTGCATTTTAAACAAGATTCTAGGTGTTGCTGAGGCTGCCAGTCTGAAGACTACACACCCGATTGCAAGGTGCTGTGATATCCTTTCTTCAAAAAATTTCAGCATATGGACTTTTCGAAGACATTGTCAGCTCCCTTTTTCCAAACTAGGGATTAAGCTCAGGGCCTATTGCGTGTGTGACAAGCTCTACCTCTGAGCTAGACCCCCAGTCTAATTGTTTTGTAAATTAATTTTTGGGGTGGCTTTTTGGGAAGTATGTTACATACTCCTAGGGACCCCAAATTCAAATATATTTATTCATTTGTTTTTGTTTTTGTTTTTGGTACTGGGGATCAAACTCATGACCTTGTACTTGCAAGGCAGGAGGCAGAACCACTGAGCTAAATCCCCAGCCCTCAAATATATTTATGAAATTACCAGTTTTGGAAGAATAGGATATCTGTATAGGTAAGTGTTACCAGATCAAACCAGTGAAGCTTCAACTGCCATCTTCCTGTCTCCTGACTGATGGTTGGTAGCATCTAGAGAAAACTAATTCCTGCATGCTTAAATATTTAAATTTAAGAGTAATATATAGCTACTGTTTAAAAAGAATGCTCTAGATCAGTGGTGGTGAAACTATGGCACATGTGCCAAAGCAGGCTGTTTGCATCATTGAAAGCTCTAAAATATTGGCCATCACTCTCCTGGGTAACGAAGTACAAAAGATACAAACTTCTCATAATTCATTAATGCAAACAGCATACAGTTAATATTTTATGCATTTCCTTTGCATTTTGAGTAACAAGATCATACCACCATTCAACTTTATTTCCTGTCTTTTACAGCCATTAAATTTTCCCTTTATGAATTTTTCCATGCAAATCAAAGACTAATATTTTGTGATAAATGCCATAATTACATAACACTATTGGGAGAAAATTTTAGGATTTTTTTTTTCTTGATGTAAGCAACGCAGCAGTGAACATCTCGGTACTTCTTGACTGCATCTCTCCTTGACAAGGATTGATTTCTGAAAGTGGAAATGTTGACTTGGCATTTACTATATTTTATCATACTTTCAGGCTTTTGATCTGGCCAAATTGCTTTCACTGGGTTAGGCAATGTATGCTCTCATCAACTGCTAGCTTAATCCTGGGCCCATCTCAGGGCAACACTAAGCGCTGCTTTTTTAAAGCCTACACAAATTTTAGGCAAAACAGTTTATTTTGCATTTAACTGCCAGTAAGCCTGAAAATAACTAAAAATTGAATATAAAATGTGGTTCCCCTTTGGTGACTTCTGTTATTTTGCATAGTTCTCTTTTCAGTCCTAATATTTTTCTTGTTAGAAGACTTTTTTTAGTGTAACAATAGTAATCCTTTACATTTCTTATAAATATTTTTCCTTGTTGGCTATTTATTATATCTTTATGAATTTTGGTGATATTGGTGTGCTCATTTTATGCTAAGTTCTGCTAACCAACTGGATAGAAGCAATTTTTGATGCATTATATGAAGTGCTGATATGATGCTTTTTTTTTTTTCCAAATAGCAAATCTAACTATCCCACCGATTCCTGATACTCCATTGAAACTATATTGGGTTTGTAGTCCCTAGTCCAGCTGATCATGTGTTTAATATTTTTTACCTGTACTACAATGCCTCCAGTATGGCTTTAAAAATATTTTTTAATCAAAAAATATTTTTGTTTGCTTTTTTAGTAACACTACATAGAAGCAGCTCTTTCCTACTGAAAAAATAAATTTTGATGGCATAATAAATAAAAACTCCATGGATGATTATAGATGCCAGTAGATTTATAAGAGTAAATAAAAAGGTTTATACGCTTAAAGCTTGTTAGGGTAGAAGAAAGGAGGAGAAAAAGTAGTACTTGTAGAGAGTACTGACTGCATAACACAGAGAACAGAACAATGTACAGGATACAGAGAGGAAAAAATGCAAGAGAAAAGAACAGCAGGAAAGTAGCACAAAAATGGAAGGGAGGGAGAAAATGAAGATGCAGCTAAGATTTATGAGAATAATGACTCAATTACTTAGGGTATATTTTCAAGCATAAACTACATTTACAGTAGTAAATTTGTGTATAAAATGTAGGCCTAACCGTGTTATCAACAAAGATATTAAAAACCAGAATGCAGTCAACATTAATGACAGAAGAAATGGAGACAGAAACCCAGATCCCAGACAAGCAAACCACCACCGAGTTTCTTTGTGGTTGGATAGATGATCAAATCAATTCACAAATGTGAAGTTTTCCTGGGCATTTCTGAAACTGGTGTGTTTAATTTTTCAATTTGATAAGTTGTTCACAATTGTTCTATACTTATTGCAAAAATAATTGATTTAAACAGCATGACACAAAACAAAACAGAAGCTTTGGGTTACAAAATTCAGAGCCAGTGGTTAGCAATCCTGTTTGGGGAGTCCGGTTGGTATGGATGAAGCTGTTGGGGAGGAGCCTAGTAACTCAGATCTCAGTGTCCG